AGATAAAAATTAAAAAGCAACAACTTTGGAATCCTCTTCAATGAAGAAGACGTTTTGTTTAATTGATTTAGACAAGTTAGCTCAATTATCCATACTAATGAAAGTGAGTATTTTTTCATAATGGAAAAAAAAACTGAACTGGGTTTGGATCAGTTGGTTTAAGAAATGGAAGACATGGGGAAAGGACTGAAGATCAGATTTAGGTAGGAAGTAATTCACAATTTATATTTAAAGCAGACACATAGATGTAGAGAGAATGCTTTTACTGGGGTGGGGATGTTGGGCTTTTTGATCTCAAAGACTACCTTAAGAGAGGTTTTGTTGATCAAAATAGGACCAAAGAGGGAGTTAAATGTGACCCATTTTGTCTATAGTAGTATTGGTTTGGGGGAAATTTGTTTCTAATACTGGCTAGCAAAAGGGTGTCTTAGGTGATGCCTTGGACAGCCGGACCTTACTCTAATGTCATATACTTTCTAAGCAAGCACCTAATCTCATAGCAATTTTCCTAATAAACTTTTCTAAAGGGAGGAGAATGTCCATTGAGAAATAAAGCAGCCTTTTTTATTCAACTGAGTTTGAGCAGAATGAAGTTATTTTTCCTCAACTCCTGAATGTCCCCATGGAAAGCAGATATAGAGGTTGTGGACTCTTGGGGAACTGTGAGCATGTACTAAAGAGGACAGAATGGAAATGGCTGACCTTGAGACCTTTGCTCATCCATCTATCTCCAGAGGAAAAAAAAACTGAAGGGTAAGAATTACATAGATTTAAAAAAATGACATTTAGAATTAGAATCCCAAGAGTTGAAACATGGAACTGGGACAATAGAATACTGTTTCATTTTTCCCTGTGAGATTGTATGTAGCTTTTTAAGTAAAGCTGTCTTTAACCACTTGATCTACAGTAAGTTGGGCCAGTAAAAGCTAGCTCAGAGGCATGCAAGTCCATCTATCTGCTCTCTTGCTAGGCATCTCATCAAAGGGAGAGTGAAATATTTTAGGTGACTGTGAAAAATGTCATGGCATTTTTTTTTCAGTCACTTGGATGATTTAGGGATGCTAAGCAACATCCAAAGTGCTTTGTGAGTACCTAAGGGATGTAGGGAAATCTTTACATGATATCAGGGAACTTTCCTGAAAAAAAAAAAAACTTTTCAAGGAATAATACTTTAGGTTAAATTTGCCCAAGATGAAGGGAAAAACAGGAGAGTGGAAGAGAGGATGTGACATGGGATTGATGCTGGAGGTCTGGGATGAAAACTGTTGGGAGTGTTAGTTACAGATTTGTCCATAATTGTCCAATTATCTGGAAAGCATATATGGAAAAGAGATGTTCTGGAAATTATCCATAATGAGGGTAGGAGATCAGAAGTCTGGGACAAAGTCCATATGAGACAACTGACCCATTGATAAGGGAATATTTACAAGGCAATATGTTTATAGCAATTTGTTAGCTAAAAATCCCCAGGTATAGAAAGTTCCTAGAGACTGTAAGTTATAATTCATTATGGAATGGGATAATATGTTTATATTGTACCCCATCAGATTAACAGTCTTTGAATTCTAATGATAATTTTGTTATCCATTCATAAATGTGAAGTCTATGATTGTGTCAGTGTTGTGGCTTTATAGTGTAAGAGAGAACTGTAAGTTGGAAGGGGACTCACTCCTTGTAGGAGAGGAAGGAATAAGTTGTCAGTGAACCTCCACACTCTCAAAATCCTGGGGTAGGACTGACCGGGCAGGGTCCTTAGACAGTAGTAGTTACTCCTAAGACAATACCTGTGGCTATAGAAGGGCCATTTGACCTAAGGTTTGGACTAAAACTGTGTGAGCCCTACATGGGGGAATTTTTGATGCAATTCAGGGCAAAATTTGCGGGGGTGGGAGTTCAAATTAGAAACACCCAGGCTGTGATTTAATAGAGAATGACTACTTATTAGCAGGATGAGGTATCCTGAGGACTTTGCCTCTTTAGAGGAGGGGAGAATTGCAGCTACCTTGGGTGTGATGGGCCTTTGGAGAATATTAAACCCATTCATCAGTTGCTCTAGGAGTGACAAGGAGAATTTAGGAACCACATCACCTTGGTTCATTGTGCTTTGCCATCACAATTCTGGAAGTCCAACACTAACCTGGCTTGTTTCTCTGAAATTTGTAATTCTTAGGAATCAAAGGTCTTGTGAAATAAGGAAATTCCATTATTTCTTTTAAAAGGGCATAGGTTTTTATTGTGAGAGATCTCATTACAGAAGGCGCTAACATCATTCTTGTACTTTTCTTCCTTAAAACAATTTTTACAGTAGAAAAATTGTGGGAGATCCCTTTGTAAAGCCAGGTTTTGAGGTTGTGACCAAAATGATGCCAGAGCCATGGGGATAAGGGTTTGGAGATTAAGTCTTCCTGGCTCAGTCGGTAGGTGGCACAGTGGATAGAATGCCAGGCCTAAAGTCAGGAAGATTCATCTTCTTGAGGTCAAATTGGCCTCAGACACTTACTAGCTGTGTGATCCTGGGCAAGTCACTTAAGCTGTTTGCCCCAGTTTCCTCATCTGTAAAATGAGCTGGAGAAGAAAAGGGCAAACCACTCTAGTATCTCTCCCAAGAAAACCCCAAATAGGTTCAGAAAGAGTCAGATATAACTGAAATGATATAGCAACAATTTCTTGACTCCAAATGTGGCACTCTATTCATTGCACCACCTAGCTGCCCACTCCAGGCATATGTAGGTACTAAAGTGAAGCTCTTTGATGTTATCACACGAGACAATGATGCTTAATCGTAAGGGTAGTATCTTGCACAAGAGGGAGAGTTGCAATACGGACTTCCTTAAAAACAGTCTTGGTAGGTCTTAGAGAAAAAAATTCATTTTTTTGTTTGTTACGTGTCCATTCATTTGGTCCCGCTTTACTGAATGCTAATGGTTTGTATATGATTCTCTTCCTTCTTCTGTAAGCTTGCTTGGTTTTGGTGATGGTTAAAATTTTAAAAAATAAAACAAGCTTGGCACTGAGGGAAGAACAAAATCAATGCAATGAGCAAGCAGTTGAATTTGAAAATTGAATACAGCTAACCTCAGGGTGTTTTTTTTTCTTTTCATAATAAAATGTATTTTATTTTCAATTTATGGAACAAAACAAGCATTTCTATAACATAGTACAATTAAAAAATGATTGCACATGAAACTGCGAATCTACCATGTGCAGTGTGGTATTCCCTCCAAATATATAATGTTAACATGTACATTTCTTTTTTTTTTCTCCTTTTATCTTCCCTCCCTCCATCCCTGCATTCAAGAGATGGCTATCATTAGACACAAATAGATGTGCACCTATACACACACACATCTGTGTAAAATTATTCTATACATCCATTTATCAACTCTTTCCTGGATGCAGATAGCATCTTTCATAATATTTCTTGCATGAAATGGTGAAGAGCATAGTGAGCAGAACCAAGAGAATATTGTATACAGTAACAGCAAGAGCGTTTTAAGAAAGATTGAGAGACTAAGTCATTTTGACTATTACAAACACACAAATTAAAAATAAAGGACATATGAAGAAAGACACTATCTGCATTCAGGGTCTTTTTCAGGAAAAGAAGACACCAGAGTTTTTTGGTGCCCCTTCCTCAAATCTGGATAGATTTTGAAAATGCCCAAGTCCAAAAAAAGTATTATGAAGTCCATAGTCGGATGCTCTCTAAGAAGAAAGAGGGCTTTCCATTAGTGCTTAACATCATTAAAAAACATTTAAGGACAGTTCTTTTTATTTTTGAAGCTTCAGAAGCAAAGACTTGTTCTAGGAAATGTATTTTTTACAGGGTAACTCCGTGGGGGACATTTTCCTGAGGCAAGTCATTCCACTGCTGGTCCACAGAGAGTTCTAAGTGACCCCACAGTAAGTTATGGTGGCTCTGGCAAGGGTCACTGCTACCTTTATTCTAGCTAGTTTGATATTGCAGGTTGGTTCCCCATGGAGGAGAGTTACTCCCTTGTTCAATGTACTGTCTGAGTTTTCACTTCTAAAACTCTACAGGCTCCCTATTTATGGGTTTGGGGGGAGGTGTTGCTGTCTTGTGTAGTCAACCATAGCAAACAAAATAATTTTCACCATTTTAACAAATATCAAGGTATATGGTGACTTAATTTGTAGGTCCTTATCAAGTACTTCACCTATAACAATATTTGGAGTGACGCGGTCAATCAAGATATAGGGACAGGAATTGGACCGGGTTAATTTCCCTGATATAGGGAACTCCTACCAACGTGGGACTGCAACTTCTGCGCATTTTATTGTTTTAGGAGTAGTCCGGGGGCACTGAGTGATTAAGGTATTTGCCCAGGATCACACAAACAGTATGTAATAGTGGGCAGACTTGAATTTGTCTTTGGTATTCTGAGCCTGGCTTTCTATCCCTACATCACCCTGTCCAAAGGACAGAGTTGCCAAAGATTATGGATTGCCAAAGATTTTGAAAATCTTAGGCAACAGACTGCCAAAGATTATGAAAATCTTAGGCAATGAACTAAAGACCAGCACAGATAATGTTTTCTTCACAATTACTGTCTAACCGTGTACTTGTCTACTCATTTCGCTGACACTATGTTTCCACTGTCACGTAGCTAGTTGCGGGTAGGGATTGTTTCATTTGTATCCCCAGCCAAGGCTTGCCCCGCCCACAGCTCCCTGGATGGGGCGGAGCCTCCTGCCTAGACCCTCCCTCTCCCCTTTCCTCATTCCCCGTGATCCCCCGAGGGGCGGAGTTTGAAGGTAGAGGGCTCGCAGCGGGAGGGCGCTTCTGAGTGTCGGAAAGCACGGACCACGTGATCCTAGAGTCGCGCGTCTCTCACAGGGCCGGGGGTGGGATTGCTTACTTACCGGGAGAAGAGGGCGGAGCCAAGAAGCGCTCTCTGATTGGCTGAGCGCCTCGGCGCCCTCGCTGATTGGCTGGCCGTCTCGACGTCTTGGCGGGCTCCGCAGCTGTTTTGGTTCGGGAGCCGCGGGCTGGGGGTGCCTCGTCCGCTTCGACTTCGCTGCCCCGCCGATGGGGGACCGGCTGGTGATACGGGGGCCTTTGCTGCCGGACAAAAGTCCTTTGGAGGAGGAGGACGAGGACAAGGACGGGGTCGTGGAGGAGGACGAGGAGGACGAGCCGCTCTTCGTGGACGCCGAGGAGCTGTGTAATGGAGGGTTGAGGTCGGGCAGCCTCCCTTCGCGCTGCCGGGGTAAAGCTGACAGGAAAGACCCGGGGACTTGGCCTTGGGGGGAGGGGGGGCGGCGGGGGCTAGAGCTCCGAGTCAGAACACCCGAGTTCAAATTCTGACACTTAGCTGTGGGCTGTGCCCCTCAGTGACCCTGACCCTTAACCATTCTGGGCCTCAGTTTTCTCATCTGTAAAACAAGTCGAGCTAGAATTGTTGACATCTGAGGCCTCTCCCAACCCCGCAGCTATGACCCTGGGAAGTATATTTTCAAATCTCACTTTTCTCCTCTGAAATGAGCGAGTTGGCTCGATTAAAGCCCCATCCAGCCAAGAATCTAACACCCGCTGCTAGTGAGCCTCTCTTTTTTTGTGAAATACGTATAAACGTTACCATTGAAAAATGAAGCATTTATTATGCTTTTACTGTATGCACTTAATAAATAAATTGTAAAGGCAAACAAAAACATGAAAAAAGAGCTGGAAAAGGAAGTTTGGGGGAGGATGCTCAGAAGCACCAAAGTGGACAAGGAAGGAGAAAACCCACCTGTCGGAGTCTGGGGAACCAGGGACCAAGTAAAGGGAGCAGGGGAATGAGGATGGTGGTCGGAGATAAGGCTGCCAGGGGAGGAAGTGCCCATAGAAAGGACTTGACCATTGGCTGCCTGATGGATTGACCCAGGATAATGTCAGGGACACTCCCTCCCCTGCCCATCTGTTCCATTGAAAGGGCATCCCAAAAATCTTCCTGCAGGTTTTACCTTTTCTATTGCTTATTGAAGCATAAGCTTCTTGAGAGCATTAATAAATGCAAGCAAGGAATACAGTGGAGTAGGTGAAGACAGTGCTCGAAAGAGCTAGAAGGCAGGGCAAAGTTAGAGGCCTGGTGGTGGGCACAGATAAGGAGACACTTCACCTACCAGGGCTTGGAGAGCCAACGGTCAAGTCCAGGTTGGGGGATATGGAAATGAGGATGATTGCCAGAATGTAGATAACTTGGTGAGGATTTTACTCCTGATGGCCCTGAAAACTCATTTCCCAGTCCACTTGTCCCATGGACAGGGTGTCCCAAAGTCTTAGAGCAGTTTAAAGCTACTTTTGAGACCTTCTGTAGTTGTTGTTTCCATTGGAATGTAAACTCCTTGAGGGCAGGGAATGTCTCTTTTTTTCTCTCCCTGGCACTTAATTTTAAGCATTTGACAAATGGCTTTTCATTCATCTAGCCATCAATCCATTCATTCTTAGGTTTATCTGCCTCCCTGATTAGATTATAAAGGAATTAAAATTAAACAATGTTACTGGTGTCTCTGGGTGAATCCCTGTGGAGTTGGAAAGAACCTTAAACGTCTCATCTAACTCCCTCATTTACAGATGAGGAAGTGGATCTTGGGAGATAGAAGTAATTTGGCTCTTGCCCAAAGAAATTTGAGTCAGTTTGGTGTAGTGGGAGATGAGGGCATAGGTTTGAATCCCAGTTATTTTGGGCTCTGACTGTAAGTAAAGCCAGGATCAGTCAGTCAACAAACATTTATTCAAGCACTTATATGTGCCAGCTGCTGCTCTAGGCCCTGAGGATAGAAAGATAAAAGGAAATGGTTTCTGCCCTCAAGTTTAGATTCTGTGGCAGAAAACAATGAGTACCCTTAGAAGTGGGCAGCTACCGTGGCCAGTGAATAAAATGCTGGGCCTGGAGTCAGGAAGACATGAGTTCAAATGCAGCCTCAGACACCTACTAGCTGTGTCCTGGATAAGTCATTTAACCCTGTTTGCCTCAGTTCCTCAATCTGTAAAATAAGCTGGAGAAGGAAATGGCAAACTACTCCAGTATTTTTGCCAAGAAAACTCCAAATGAGGTTACGAAGAGTCAGACTTGACTGAAAAATGACTCGAAAGAAATCCATAGAAATAAGTATGTGCAAATTGAACCTGAGTTCCTGTTTTCTACTAATGTCAGTGGATAGCTACTCAAGTTTCTTGAGCAAAAGAGTGACATGGTTAGACACGATTCTTTTAGATGATCATTTCAAAAGCTATTGGAAGGATGAGGATGGACTGGAGAGTGGGAAAACTAATATAGTAGGAGGGAACTAATGAAGAGGCAGTTAACATCATCCATGTGATGAGGCCCTCAGTGGTTGTGAAGAGAACAGAAAAAAGCGAATAGCGAGGAGCGTTGTTGAAGTTGTAGCCACCAGGTTTAACAGGGGGTATATGGAGGTGTGTGAGAGTAGAGAGCCAAGAATGACTCCTACTTTGGGGATTGGGTTCCCAGAGAAGAAACAGCAAAGTTAGGGAGAAGAGTGGGTTTGGGAACAGTTGATTAATCTAACTGATCCTTAGTTTCCTCTAATGGATTCTAGTTAAACATCATGGATTTAGAGCTGGAGAGAATATCGCTTTTATGGTTCGATGGAAAGAGTAATGGAGTTAAAGGATTTGGATTTGAATCCTGTCTCTACCTAACTGAATGTCCTTGGGCAGGGGCCAAGTTACTTTAAATTTCTCTGGGTCCATTTCCTCATCTGTAAAATGAGATTGGATGAGACCTTTAAGGTTCTTTCCAACTCTAAAACCATGATATTATAAACAACATTTTATGTTCTCACTCCTGTGTGTGTGTGTGTGTGTGTGTGTGTGTATGTATTTTCTCATTTTCCTATGATAAGGTGTTTTTTCAAGATTGTTTTACTTGTTGGAAAAGTTGAATACGGTATCTGATAAAAACAAATTAATATAATGACTAATTTTTTTGTTCTTTTGCCGCATATAATTCCCTGGACCTTAATGTTCATCACAGTGGAATTTATAAAGTCAATTAAAAAACATTAACATTTGATGAAAGTTTAGTTATGTGTCTTAAATTAACTGATAACAAATCCTACTTATGTTTTTGTTATTTTAAAAGTTATAATTGAAGATGAAAACACTACAGAGAAGATTCGAGTGTTTGGACGGTTTTCATTGGTTGATCCTTGGTGGAAAGTTAAAGTGAAAGTAAAACTTGTGGGATCCCGGTACCTTGCCCATGGATTGCCATCTTACTTTTTACGGACAGACTTATTGTCCAATCACAAAGATATTTGTGCACTTTTTCTTAAGGCCTGTGAATTTCCAGATGATTTTAGATTGGGCTTTTTAAAGTGGGTATATGGAAGATCAAGTTATTGCAACTTGAGCTTTGCAAATCTTCAAGAAGCACTGAAAGATTTTGAAGAAGAATGGCAAAAAGAGTCTTCAGGGGAAAAAGGTAGAAATTCTTCACAGGAGAAAAAAAATCAAAGTTTATCGAATAAAAATCCAAGTAAGTGGAAATTTGACATAACATTCAATTCAGGCTATTACAGCAACTGAGGACTAGAATGTTTCAGCTTTTATTAGCATAATCTAAAATACAGCTTTCCTTTTGGAAAGACAACATGTGTAAATTAGTGTGGCTTTCCTTTTGGTGGTGGGGGTGGGGAATTTCCCTGGCATAGGACATGATCTAGTTGGAAAAGCATTCAGTTATGTGAAAATCGAAAGTAAATTTCAAAGGAAAATGGATGTAGTTAAATGTAACAAGTACGATCTCATTACAGTAAAACTTCATAACCAAAAACCATTTAGTTAGCAACATCAACTATATTGGACCAGGAAATAAACAAAAAAGACTATTCAACAGCCCAAGTGGATGATAAAAGGTCATGTATAGATTTAAATTAATTTTTAGATGAAAGTTTTTTGTCTCTGTGAAGTTAAATGCCCAAATCTGATAAAAATTATGTTTGAATCTTTTGAGTTGCATTTGGATAGCAGTCACTTATTGAGAAGAAAGCAGAAAGGAAAAAAAAACTCTGAAAAATAAATTTCTGTTTAAAAAAAATGCAATCTGGTTTATGTACAGAATGAAAGCTTAGAATTTTCAGGTGACCAAAACGTGAACAATATTACTTCTCATTGACTAGATCAAATTATCTTTAGCAATCTTTTCTTTAGTTTTGGTTACTTCATCCAGCTGTGTAAAATAATCCTTTATGTTACTGCTTTTTGTACAAATGATGTTCATTGTAGAAAATTGTCCGTAAAGCCCTTACTTTATGTGTTACTTTAACTGACTTCTTTTGGTCTCCTCTAGCTGCTTTAAAAACTGTAATGACAGCTTTGAAGTTTCCAAGAATAATGGAATTCATTCCAATCCTTCTGCCTCGGCATTTTCACAATCTTCTGAACCTAGAACATCCTGAGAGCTTGTTCAGAGACTTGGAAGAAATCCTAAATACCTGTCCTTGGAAACTTGGGTTTAGTAGAGTAAGTAGGGTAACACACCCTTGGGTGGTTGCTCTGATTTCTGTGATAATCTCTATACTTGTCAAAACTGGGCCAAGATTTGTCAGTGTTGTGTAAAGGGCCATGAGTGTTTTCCCTTTGTTTTATAGAGTTGATATGGCCAAAATATGTTTATCCCTTAATAGCCAGTCTTCTAGCCTCCCTGTGTTTTACTAGGTTGTTCCTCAGCACACTTCATCTGTCACTGGGACCATATTCAAAACCTTTCCAAAAAGGTCTGACCTCCCACTATGGAACCCATGACATAACTTTTGTGCATAATAATAATCGTGTTTATCTAGTAACTTAAGAGTTTGTAACATACTTTAATCATATTCTTGTTTGATCCTCTTACAGTTCTGTGATGTAGCATTTAGTTGAAAAGCATTTATTAAGTGCCTGCCATGTGCCATAGCACTGAGTCGTGTGTTGGACTTGGCTAGGCTTGTGTTATGTAGGTAATCAATATCTCAGGTAGGATTTGAATTTATTCGGGCTTCCTGACTCCAAGTCCAGTATTCTCCCCATTGTATCAGGCTGCTTTCTGAGGTCACATCTCATTCCTTGTCCTTGCCTCAGGATCAGCTCATCTTTTTCTATCACAAATTTCCATGATTTTCTCCTTTAAAGTTGCTCATTGTTTAAGTGTTGCAGTCTCTTCACAACCACAATGCCCTTTTCCATTACCCTTGTGATACTCATTTTAAAATCTCTGGAGACTAATATTCCCTGTCTATGCAACACTGGTAGCATACTGGTAGTAGAATGATACATTCTGCAATCGTCCTGTTTGACTAGTCCCAACAATATTTTGTTGTTGTATTTTTTTAAGGTAAGCTAAAATAGCCAGGGTAGTTATGTAACTTGGAACAAGGGAGAGCAAGGTGGGCAAGTCTAGAGGGTGAGAGAACAGAGAGGTTTACTAAGGGGTGATTGGGATTGTGGACCATAGTTCTAGGAATTGACAGTGTCTGTTTTGATGAGAGCGAGGCAGTATGGTACAAGGAAAGGAGCACTGGGCCTTCAGCCATAAAGACCTAGAGAACCTAGACAAATCATTTACCTTTCTGTGCTTAGAAGGTACTTCTTTAACTTGTAGGAGTCTTGTTTTCTTTCACGAGGCCTCTGAGCAACACGATAACTTTCCTGAGTTCCATGTCCCATTCCTTCCCACAACCCTGTACCCCACCCTTCCCCCAGCCAGTGTTCTCTTTCCCAAATTCTTTTGAGGAAAATTACTTTAAATTTACTTGTATTTATTCTATATTTTACATGTTATGTATGCACGTGTATGTATGTATATATAGAAAATACATATGTATGTCCTTGTTGTCTCTCCCCTTCATAAGTAAGCTCCTTTTTGAGAAGCTATCGTTGTATTCTTTGTATTTATTTTCCCAGTGCTCAGCACAGTGCCTGGCTCCTAGTAGCTGTTTAATTTGTTGATTAAGGATAATAACCCATGCAGAACCTACCCTATCAGATTCTTATAAAAATCAAACAAGGTCTTATAGTACTTTGCAAACCTTAAATTGGTATATAATTGTCACCTATTGTTGTAGCTGGATCATAGAGATTTTAGAGGGGTAATAAAAACTGGGAGCCTAGGAAAGAGCCACGTCACGAAGAGCTTTGAATGACAAAGGAATTTATGTTTGATTTCGATGTAAAAGAGCCAGTGGAGCTTATTGAGTAGGGGAGTGACATGATCAGTCCTGAGCTTTAGGAAGATTAATTTGACAACTGAGGAGAGCCTGGACTGGCGTAAGGAGACACTTGAGGCAGGGAGACCAATCAAAAGGCTATTGCAGTAGGGAGTGTGAGAGGTGATGAAGACTTGAAATAGTGTGGCGGCTACATGAATAGAGACAAGGAAATGTTTAGGAGAAATGCTGTGAAGATAGAAACAACAAAGTTTGATGATAGTGTGGATATGAAAGGTGAGGGAGAAAGGAGTTGAGGATGATAATGAGGTTGTAGGCCTGAGTGCCTGGGGGGATTATCACCAAAGTGAGAGACTATAGAGAGAAAAGTAAAGGGGGTCCAGGACAGAGCCTTGGGGGACACTCAGTGAGTGAGCACAACATGGATAAAGAGCCAGTCAAGGAGGGTGAGAAGTGATTAACTGATCTTATTTGTTGCCTTTCTCTTTATGTTGTTACAAGAATAAGCTTTAATTTACTGGGCTGATTGCATCTTTCCCTAGCTTAAAACCCAGTAATGCAGGGATTCTTAATTTTTGTAGGGTCATGGACCCCTTGGCACTGTAGTGAAGCCTAATGGAACCCTTCTCAGTCAACAAGCATTTATTAAGAACCTACTACATGCCAGGCACTGTGCTAAACTCTAGGGGTACAAAAAAAGGCAAAAGACTGTCCATCCCTGTTCTTAAGAAGGTCACAATCCAACAGCAGAGACAACATGCAAACCCCTATGTACAAACAAGATATATACAGCATAAATTGGGGTGATCTCAGAGGAAGGCACTAGTATTGTGGGGGATTGGAAAGGCTTCTTGCAAGAAGTGAGTCTTAGTAGAGCCAGGGAAACTAGGAGGTGGAAATGACAAAGGAGAGAGTTCCAAGCATAGGGAACAGCTAGTGAAAATGGAGAGTTGGGAGAGGGAATGTCTTGTGTGAGGAACGAAGGAGAGGAGATTGCATTTTATGTGGAGGGGGGATGTGTAAGATGTGCCTTGATATGGCTTATGGATATCTAGAATGAAATGGGTTTTATTATACTATGTTTTATGAAAGAACTTAAATTTTTATTTTGCTTGTATTTTTTCCTTAAAGATAATCTACAGAGAATTGAAGCTTATTGGGTGTGAAGCAACTTGGCTGGCATTCTGTCAGTGTGAATTTCTTATCCAAAAAATGAGTGATTTGGAGAAGAATGCATTAATAACATATAACAAACTGAAACAGATATGTAGAGAATATGGACACACTTATGTTAAAGAAGTTGAATTAACCTCTAATTTGTCTGGAAAGGTATCATTTCAAGATGTTTGGTCTTCTCTGAAGTTTTTGAAAGATATTAGGATAGTGACAAATGAGAAAGAATGTATCTTTCTCAGTGATCTTTATGAAGCTGAAAGAGATGTTGCTTCTTTGGTACATGACCTTATGACATCACCATCATGGAATTTAAAAGTAGATGTGAAAGAAGTTCTTGCATCTATGGAGACCAGGAAATCCAAGCATGCAGAAGGAGATGATGCAATGAATACGAGTAAACCTCAGGAAGAAAAATTAGAAAATGGTGGTCATGCTTTGGACATGCAGAGCCATCGTAACCAAGTTTTTCATTCTGATGAAAATGAAATTGATTTTGAAATGCCAAGCCAAGTACAGCTGGACCAGGATCAGGTAGCTGCCCTGGAAATGATTTGTTCTAAGGCGGTGACAGTTGTCAGTGGGAAAGGTGGCTGTGGAAAGACCACAATTGTTGGCCATCTCTTTAAGTATGTGGAGCAAATGGAAGAGACAGAAGTGTGGAAAGCTTGTGAAGACTTTGAACAAGACCTCGATGCGCCAGAAGAATGGAACACTTTTGTTCATCAAAGTGAATGGAATAATAACAAACGTATAGAAGTATTGCTCACAGCACCCACTGGTAAAGCCGCTAGCTTATTGAAAGAGAAGACTCGCCTTGCTGCTTATACGTTACATCAGGTGAAAACTAAAAAACCGCCTCATTAGGTGAAGCAAAATGAATTTAAAATAAATAGCTGTTCTTGGTTGTAATTAGTCAACTGGTGTTTAGTGAGGGGCTGTTTGTTCAGTAATGTGTGAGACTGAAGGAGACAGGAGTTTAAACCGTGGACTTTGTAAGAACTTTGGAGGTAATCCACTAATAACACTGAGCAATTATTCCAATTGTTGATGAGATGGATTTTTTTTGGTAATAGATTTGAGTGTGATATAGAATTAGAATCAGAGATTTAAATTTGGAAGAGATTAAACTGAGAAGGTTGGACTAAATGATCTATAGGATGAGGAAGTTGAGTATTTAGGGAAGAAGAAGGATAACAAAGACTGTAGGATTTAGGTAATTGTGGGAGAAGAGAGTATTTCAGGTCAGCCAGAGAGAAATATTAAGTGACAGGCTTCAAGGATCTGTCCATGGTCTTGCTGGCATTAAAACTTTTTTTTTTTGGTAATGTGGATGGTGGCGTTCTTGGCTGAGCACTTAAAGTTGGTAGAAGACGATATCTATTAGAACATGTGTCTTGATAGAGTCAAAGCGTAAAATGATCTTAACAGGCTAGAATTATGGGTTAAAACTGATAAGATAAATTATAATGGACCAATGTCCATTTGTGAACTTAGGTAAAAAAAAAAAATCAGCTCCACAGGATGGTGGAGTCATACTTAGACAATTGTTGGTGTGAAAAAGACCTGAGTGTTTTTTTGAGTAGATTGCAAAATCATTGTGAATCAGTGGCATGATATGAGTGCCAAAACCTCCTCGATATCATCTTTAGGTGCCTTCGTAAAGGCATAGTGTCCAGAATGTGAGTCGTTCATGTACTTTGATTTGATTAGATTACCCCTAGCAAATTGTATTCAGCTCTGGGAGGCACATTTTAGGAAGGACATTGCCTAGCTGCATTCAGATGAAGGGTATCAGGAAACAGAGAGGAGGGGGAGCCAAGTTATGTGAAGGTTAGCAGGTGGAAGAACAGGGATGTTAAATTTTGAGAAGACTTTAGGGGAACCACAACATCCATGTTGCTAGAATCATATCATGAAATGTCATTTAGAGGAATTCTGCTTGCTCAGCTTAACACCAGCAGGACAGCACTAGTAGCAATGGCCAGAAGTTGTAGAGAGGCAGATACCAGTTTGATGTGGAGAAAAAATTCCTAATGAGGATATCCAAGTGTGAAGTGGTGTGATTTCCTAGATAGGTAATGAGTTCCCCATCAGAAGAAGTCTTCACATAGCAAGGTGATATGGAGATTTCCTTTTAAGATACAGTTTGGATTACATATCCTGAGGTCCCTTTTAACTGATATTTTGTAATTCAGGTGAGAAAATAGTATGAGCCAGCTGTGTATTGGCCTAAGCACAATGCTAGTACATTGGCACCTAATAAATGTTGATTGATCGTTCCCAGAATAGAAGGTAATAAAAAGGAAGAATGCATCTGACTTAATTGTACTTTGTTCTGGGTGCCACATTGTAGGAAGGACATTATAGATAAGCTAGAGAGTGTCCAGAGGATGATGAGGGGCCTTGAGTTTATGTCTTATGAAGATCAGTTAAAGAAACTGGGAGAAGAGACTGGAGAAGGGGTAGGGTGTCTTCTGATATTTAAAGGGCCCTTGTTGGACCCATGTTGGGGAGAGATCAGATTTATTTGACTTGTCCCCAAAGGGCAAAACTAGGAGCAGTCGGTTGACATTTCAAAGAAGCTTGATGTTAAGAAAAACTTGCTTGATAAAGTGGAATGGGCTTTCTTGGGAGATTATTACTTGGTTATTTATCTTCACTGGTGGCTTCTGGATGATCATTTGTCAGGTATGATGTAGGTGGGATTTCCAGCTTTGAGATCATCTGATTCTTGTGGAGCCAATGACATAGGATGATGAACCCCCCAGTGTGACTTTAGCTACTAAATACTTAATGACCTGGAGATACTTTTTAGCATATTCAGTTCATCTTCCTTGAAGAGAAATTTTTTTATTTGATGTCCCATCTGTGTCAAAAATGTCAGATTTATGAATGTTGCTGTGCATCTCCGTATTCTTTTCCCTTGTCTTCTTGCTGCTTATTTTTGTTTATTTTTAGTTTTCATCATTCACTTTTATAAGATTTTGAGTTCCAAATTTTTCCCTCTCCCCAAGATGGCATATATAACCTGATATAGGCTATACATGTACAATCATGTTAAACATATTTCCACATTGTGAAAGAAGAATTAGAACAAAAGGAAAACAACCACAAAAAAGAAAAAAAAAGAAAATAGTATGCTTCCATGTGCATTCAGACTCCATAGTTCCTTCTCTGGATGTGGATAGCATTTTCCATCATGGGTTTTTTGGAATTGTTTTACATCATTGCATTGCTGAGAAGAGCTAAATCTATCAAAGTTAGTCATCTCACAATGTTGCTTTTGCTGTGTACAACGTTCTCCTGTTCTGCTCACTTGGCATCAGTTCATGTAAGTCTTTCCAGGTTTTTCTGAAAACTACCTGCTCATCATTTCTTATAACACAATAGTATTCCATTACATTCATATACCACAACTTGTTCAACCATTCCCCAATTGATGGGCATCTCCTCAATTTCCAATTCTTTAACACCACAAAAAGAGCTACTATAAATATTTTTGTACATGTGGTTACTTTTCCCATTTTTATGTTCTCTTTGGGATACAGCCCTAGAAGTGCTATTGCTGGGTCAAAGGGTATGCACAGTTTTATAGCCCTTTGGGCATAGTTCCAAGTTGCTCTCCAGAATGGTTGGATCTGTTCACAACTCCACCAACAATGCATTAGTGTTTGAATTTTCCCACATCTTTTCCAACATTTATCATTTTCCTGTTTTGTCATGTTAGCCCATCTGATAGGTGGGATGTGGTACCAGTGCTGTTTTAATTTGCATTTCTCTAATCAATAGTGATTTAGAGCATTTTTTTCATAAACTGTCTGTTCATATCCTTTGACCATTTATCAGTTGGGGAATGACTTGTATTCTTATAAATTTGACTCAGTTCTCCTTATATTTTAGAAACGAGGCCTTCATCAGAGACCCTGACTGTAAGAATTGTTTTCCAGCTTTCTGCCTCCCCTTCTAATCTTGATTGCATTGGCTTTGTTTGAGCAAAACCTTTTTAATTTAATACAATCAAAATTATCTGTTTTGTATTTCATAATGTTCTCTATCTCTTGTTTGGTCATAAATTCTTCCCTTCTCCATCGATCTGACAGGTAAACTATTCCTTGCTCTCCTAATTTGCTTATAGTATTACCCTTTATGTCTAAGTTGTGTACCCATTTTGATCTTATCTTGGTATATGGTGTAAGATGTTGGTCTGTGCTTAGCTTCTGCCATATTATTTTCCAATGTCCTCAGCAGTTTCTGTCAAATAGTGAGTTCTTATCCCAGAAGCTGGAGCCTTTGGGTTTATCAAACAAATTACTACATTGACTACTGTGTCTTGTGTACCTAATCTGTTCCGCTCATCCACCACTCTGTTTTTTAGCCAGTACCAAGTAGTTTTGATGATTGCTACTTTATAATACAATTTAAGATCTGGTACAGCTCTTGCTGCTTATTTTTGTGGCCATGTGAGATGGAAATCCTATGTAGAAATTTTAAAAATGATTTTTAAGTTTGTGTTAAATTTGGCATTGTATGCCTTATTTGTAGGTAAAGTACAGCTTCTATTCATGGCAGAGAACAAATCAGAAATTGGAGGACAAAATTCCATGGAAGTTTTCTTCAGTGAAAGTTCTTGTTGTGGATGAAGGGAGCTTAGTCTGCATAGCAGTCTTCAGATCAGTTTTAAATTTGTTGCGGAAACATGCCAGACTCGTGAAGCTGATTATCCTTGGTAAGTTAAAAATGGTTAGAGTCTGAAATGCACTTTCAGATGAGTTGTAGTTTTGTAAGCTGACTGCAGTACTCTAAATGATCCTGGTCCAACTCAAAGCTGGAAGCTTCCAGTATACCAGTGCCACAGCCAGAAGCTACGATGGTAGTGGAATCCAAGGGGGTCATATGACAACCACATTGGTTCATACAATTCTGTGACCCTTTACTGAGTTCCTACTATGTACAAAACATCAATGTATTAGATGCTAAAGAAGTTATAGTGATACATATGGTATAATCCCTGCCCTCTAGAAGGTGTGTATAGGTTAGGTAGAGGGGAGGCAATATAGTGGGAAGAGCACTGCATTTGGTGCTTGAGATCCTGGGTTTGAATCCCAGCTCTGACACTACTGTATGTATGACCTTGGGCAAGCCATAACCTTATTTAACCTTATTTTCCTCATCTGTACAATGAAGGATTTGGACTTTACTTCTAGCTCAAAATGTATGATCCCATGAAACTTATAGTGTGAAAAATGCTATGAAGCGTACAAAATGCTAAAATAATATCTCATTATTATAATAGTTCTTAGAGTGGTTGGATGGTTAGGGATTTGGTTAGTCTGTGTGGATGAAGGTGATATTTGAGATGGGTTCTGATAGGTAGATAAGATTTTAAGGAGTGGAGAATGGGAAGGGGTGGGGGTGATTTAGGGACCCTTCCCTAGGCATAGGGAAGAGTTGGAACAGTGAGGCAGGATAATGTGAGGTAGGTTAAGGAAATAGCAAATAGACCAGATCAGTTGAACTAAAAGGCACATGAATGAGAGTAGTTTGTATTAGGGAAGAAAAGGGTATCCTTAGCTTCCTTAAAAGATTGTGGGGGCCAAGTTAGTTCCCTGCCTAGAGTAAAGTCCATGGGAAGAGTACTAACTCCAGCCAGATTTCTATTCCTGTTTCCCATGAGCACCAGAGTGTCTCCCTCTGTGATTGGCTTTATAATCTGTCTTCCCTGCACCTCACCTTGTTCCCATACACAGTTGGAGTTGTCTTCTTTTTTTGTGTCTAGGAGAATCAATATTTTTTTTCTTCTTGAGCTGGTGTACTGAGTCACTGCCACGAGCAGGCCAGGCAAGGCTGTGAAATTATTTTTGTGGGATGGTCTGGGCATGGAAAGAATGAATGGCATCTTCAGTTATTTCAGTTCTTTGATGTCGTTCCAAGAGGCTTTTACTGTCTGGGGGTGTTTCTGTTGTGTTATCTTCTTGATTTAGCTCTTATTAATATGAATTTGATGCATATATCCTAAAAGAAAGAAATTGGGCTTGGGGAATTATTTGGAAAACAACTAGTCCACTACTCCATCATCTTGCCAATTGTATGACTGCCTCTGATCTAGGCCAGGCCTAAGTTAGGACCATGAGTGATTCAACTTTAGGAATTAAAATGCAATGAGGCATTTGTGGACTATAAAATGCAATACGAAATAACCTTACTAATAATAAAATTAAAAGAATTCAACTTCTAAAGTTACAAGAATATAAAATGTCATTCCCCTTTCACTTCTACAGTTATTGTGTAGTCAGTCTGAGTCAGGAATTCAGTAATGACCTGCAGGTAGTGGGAAATCAAATATAATCACTGGCCCCGCTTCCCACTTGACTATCTCTGTGCCTTTGATTACAAGGAGGCCAAAAGACCTCTTATCTCTTCACCATCAAAAACTAACCCAACACAGGCTGTTAGATCTTTCCCCAGATAATGTAGCATACTGGAAGGGGAATGGAGGTTGGCAGGCAGGAGTAAAAGAGAAAGCAGAAGGAAGAGTGTAGGTATGTTTTCATCTTCAGTGTTACTACTCCTTTCAACAAATGGCACTAAAGCCCTATTCATAGACCACAGCACTGCTCTTGTCACACATTCTTTTGGTTTTTGAGAACATGTTTCTGATGTTCAACATATTCTTTTGGTTTTTGAGAACATGTTTCTGATGTTCCTATCTGTAATCTATTCTCTCTTTCCCTTGTTGATTTATTTTCCTTTTGTTGGTAATTCTTAATGTTATGTCCTTACTTTTCTCCATGTTTGTTCTCTCTCTTAAATGTCTTATTTGTATCCATGGCTTCAACTACTAATCATCTCTTAATAAATGAATAAAAAGGCACTTATTAATCACTTGCTATGGGCCAAGTGTGTGCTGAGTACTGGGGATACACATAAAAATTGAAACAGTCCCCTTAAGGAGCTTACCTTTTCATAAGGGAATATATACAAATCTCCTTGTCTCTCTAGACCTGATTTGTCTTCTGAGTTTGAGAGCCGCACATCAAAACAAGCCTCTGTTTTTGAATGTCCCACCAACATTTGAAATTAAATGTATCCAAAACTGAACTCAATATTTGTCCCTCAAGACTGCTTCTCTCTTTTGGCTTTTCTGTTTGGCAATGATATTTGACTTCCCTCACCTCTCATATCCAGTCCATTTTCAAAATCTATTGATTCTGCCTCCGTGTCTTGACTTCATCTTCTGTTTATTTATACATCTATTGTTAGCATCTCTAAACAGTTATAGTAACCTCCTAAATGGTCTTCCTGCCTCTTTTCTTACCTGTTCCAACTCATCTTTGATATAGCTGTTTTCATAACCTCTATTGTGAACAGATCTCACCCTGTCACTTCTGCTCAAAAGCCTTCAGTGGCCCTATGTCAAGTAAAATTCAGTTCAGACTTGTTAATCTGATAAATCCTGTCTCATTTTGGTCTTGCTCTTCTAGCCTTTTCACAATTATACTCCATGTGTGCTTTGCAGGTTAACTGTATTACCTGTTGCACCATTTCTTTATTTACACTCTTTCCAATGACTGAAACCCTAATCACTACCCCCTCCCCGCGTGTATGTATGTGCATTTCTGTCTGTCAGCCTGTCAAAGAGCACTACATATACTCTGTTGATGTCTAAGAGGCTTGTCAAGAAAGCAGTCTGAAAAAGTATCAGGTTTTTTTTTTTTTTTTTAAGAAAGCTGTAAGCTTTCAAACAGTATGACTTGGCAGACAAGAAGGCTAATGGATCTTAGAGTCCATTAAGACAGGCATAGCCTCCAGGAATAATACAATTGTTTCAGTACATACTAGATGTGTTATTATCAAGCAGTGTGTTCAATTCTGGGTGATACATTTTAGAAAGGATAGCTGGAAAACATCCAGAGGAGGGCTATGAAGAGGGTGAAAAGGTGAAAAACCTCATTTCATATGAGGATCTTTTAAAGGAACTGGGGATGTTTCACCTGAAGAAGACTGGGGGGGGGATTTGGGAGAGGGGAGAAGGAAGGGAAAAAGATAGTTTTCCTCAAATATTTGAAGGTCAGCCATACATAAGAGGGATTGGACTTTCCTTGGCCACAGAGTGAGGAATGGCAGTTGCAAAAAGGCAGATTTCGACTTGATGTAAGAGAAAGACTTCCTAATTTTCCGCTATCCTTAAGTAACGTTAGGAAGTATTGGTAGATTCCCTTTTCCTAAATGTCTTCAAGCAAATATCTGATGATGATTATCCCTCATTGGGAATAGAGTTGAGGGAATCCTTGTTCAGATATGGGTTGGACTGAATGGCCTTCGAGGTCCCTTTGAACTTTTTAAAGGCCTGTAATTCTTTGATACCCATCCATCAAAGTCCAGTTCAGTTTTAGCTCCTGCGGCCCACTAGCAGTGATGACCAACCTTCCGCTCCTTGGAGGTTGCAGGGTCATTTTTTAATCTCTTGCGAGCTTCCTGTGTATCCTTTTGTATTCTAATTTATATATGTGGCCTATTCCTCTACCAGTTTTTGTGCTTCCTGAAGGCAGGGACTGTGCTCCCTTTGCATTCCGGCGATCTGTGCATCATAGGCCTTCGACAATGTTAAAGAGAAATGGTCCTGTTAGACTGTTTACCAGCAATGTAAGAATTCCTGGTTGTAGAATGCTGGCACTGGAATTTATCATCTTAAATTTATTTTGGGGAACTTCCCTCCATGCGTTTCTGAAGTTCATCCTTACTAATAACTACCTATATGTTTGTGCACTGTGATTTTTAGTTTTTCTTTTATAAATCCTATGTTCATATCAGCTCTTTGTAGGAAACCTACTTTGACAAATACACATCTCGTAATTAGCATACTGTTTGGGTTGTATGCAAATAGTGTCTTGAAAGTTAAAAGAATGGTTATGAGCAAAGTCCAGACTAAAAATGAATTTACAATTATATGAAAGATCTTTGTCCTGTGAGTGGTTTAAATATTCTCCTGATAGTGAGGACAGTGTAAGTGCATATTAGGTGCCAGGAACTGAGTTAAGCCTTAGGGCTTTGAACTAGATGTCTTTGTCCTCCCTCAAGGAGTTCATATTCTAATGGGGGAAACAACTCTGTATATACAAGATAAATGTATACACATACAGTGTGTGTTTACACACATTTACATGTACATATACACACATATGTATATAAACATATCATCTAAACAAAAGGTAATCTCAGAAGGAAGGCACTAGTTGGGGGGGGTGGCAGAGGAGGAGGAAAGGCCTCTTGGAGAATTGAAATTTCAAAGAAGCCAGGTGGTGAAGATGAGGAGGGAGAGTATTTCAGGCCCAAGAATGAGCCAGTGCAAAGGTCGAAACAGGAGATGGGATATGGTATGTGTGAGGAACAGTAAGCAGGCCAGTGTTTCTAGATTGAAGAGTACATGAAGTGCACTAAAGTGTAAGAAGACTGGTAAGGTAGGAAGAGGCCAGTTTTTGAAATGCTCAAAGACCAAACAGGATTTTATGTTTGAATCTCAAAGTAATAGGGATTGCTGGAGTTTTTTGAGTGGTGGAGGGGATGTGTGACATTGTCATACCTGTACTTCAGGAAGATCACTTTGGTAGCTGAGTAGAGGATGGCCTGCACTGGGGAGTAACTTGAGCAGAGAGACAAACCAGAAGGCCATCGTAGTAGTCCAGGCATGAGGGAAAGAGGGCCTATACCAGGCTGGTGACTATGTCAGTGCAGTAAAGGGGACATACATACAAGGTAGAAACAACGGAACTTGGCAACAGATTTGATGTGTGGGGTGAGTGCAGGTGAGGGTGGGGAATGATACCTCAGTTGTGAGTGTAGGTGACTGAGAGAATGGTGGTACCCTTAATAGTGTTAGGGCAGGGGCAGGTGCAGGTGCAGGCAGGTAGGAGGTGCTCAGGAGGAGTTTTAATGAATTCCATTTTGGATATGTTGAGTTTGAGATGTTTTGGAGGCATCTAGTTCACGATATCCAAGAGGTAGTTGGTGATGTGAGAATGGAGGTCAGCAGAAGTTAGGTATAGACCTGAGAATCATCTATATGATGATGATAATTGGAGGTGATGATTTCACCTAGTGAGATAGTATAGAGGGATAAGAGAAGAGGACCAAGGACAGACCCTTGGAGAATACCAAGGGTTAGTGGGTATGGCCTGGATGAAGATCCAGTAAAGAAGACTGAAGAGTGGGGGAGATTAGTGTCATGAAAAAAACCTAAAGAGGTGGAGAGAGTGTTTGGGAGAAGAAGGTGATCAGTAGTGTTGAAGGTTGGAGAGAGGTCAAAAAAGATGAGAATTAAGAAAAGGCCATTAGATTTGACAATTAAGAGATCATTGGTAACAGTGGAGAGGGTAGTTTTAGTTGAGTGCTGAGATTAGAAGCCAGACTGTAGAAAATTAAGAAGAGAGTTGAGGAGAGGATGTGAAGGTACTGGTAGTCAATGGCTTCAGGTGCCCCTTGGTGGTGTAGTAAATAGAGTTCTGAGTCTCGAGTCTAGCCTCAGACCCTGGGGAAATCACTTAACCTTTATTTGTGTCTATTTCCTCAACTGCAAAATGGGGATAATAATAGCACCTACCTTGCAGGGTTGTTGTGAGGATCAAAGGACATAGATTTATAAAGCAGGGGCTGGCATATAGTAGGTGCTATATAAATGCTTGTTCCTTCCTCTTTCTCAAGAAGTTTAGCCACAGAAGAGAGGAAAGTTACAGGATAACTGTGAGTGGAGATAGAGGAATCAAATGAGGCACTTTGAAGGATGGGGTAGACAGCGTATTTATGGGTAGCAGGAAAGTAGCCAGCAGAGAGGGAGAGACTGAAGATTTGTTAGAGAATAAGATGTCAGAGGGGGCAGTTTGCTGGAGAAGACAAGATGTAATGAGACCAAGGGTCTTTTTAGTAGGCTTTGTTTTTCTTTGAAGTAAGATTTTAAAAGGTTTGCTGAGTTTTTAAATCTATTTCAGCTAATTTTTCCAAACCCTTGGGAATGTACTTTTTTTTGTTTTGTTACTGAAACTTAAATATACAATAAGAAAAGAAAAAGAAACATATAAACTTAAGTATTGAAACTTAAATGCAAAATAAGAAAAGAAAAAAAAGCATGTTGTGTGCACAGCAGAACATAAGAGAATTAAAAATATATAGCAAAAAATTTCCATTTCAAGAAAGCCTATATAATAAATACTACACATTGTATTGAGAGCTGTCCATCTTTTCTTTGCCTCCTTGTTAGTTTTTTTGTTCTTTGCTGTGCACTTTTTACTTTGTTCTTTTCACCCCCTTTTTTCTTCAACTCCTCCCTTGAAGGCTGCAATTGAGTGAGGATATATTTATATATAGATATATAGATACACATATATACCTACCCTCATACATATATAGATATATACTTTCCCTAACAAATTCTACTCCTAATCTTTGTTTTTATGTATTTGTATCTCTTGTTGTCTATGCCTCCTAACTCCTCTACTTTACTTTTACCCCCTACCTTACCCTCTTATTACTTAATCTACCACCCTACAGGATCCCTCTCTTATCCTCCCATTCCCATAAATCTAAACACCCTTCTATACCTCCCTTTGAGCTATTGCCTCACCCTCCCCTCTAAAGATCCTTCCCTTGTCCTCTCATTCCTATTAATCTAAATACCTTTCTATATCTCCCTTTAACTTATTCCCCTATTCTCCCCTCTAGAGATCCCTCCATTATCCTGGTCCTCCCCCCCCATCCCCTTAGTATTTTATTTCTTTCTGAATTAAAAGACTTTTATAAACTCTTCTAACTATATATGTATTGTTCCCTCTTAAATCCATTCCTGATAAAAATGGTATTCCAGAACTACCAGCTCTCCTCTACCATCTAATTCCTGTGTTAGTTCTTCCTCTCTCACCTTATTTGTATAACATAATTACTCCTTTTAGTTGTCCTTAAATAGTTTTACTTTTTAAAGTCATATCATCTTCAGCTCTACCCCAATCTTTCTTACAAACTACCCAATTGCTAATAACAATCTAAGACATACATTTTACATACATAAAAAGTAAACAGTCTGTCCTTATTGAGACCCTTGTAGTTAATCTTTGGTATGTACCTGGGAATGTACTTCTAAAGTTATAGTGTTCAACAGGAAAAATGACTCGATGGCAAGTCTAGTTTTTATAAACTGTTTCAGGAACCTAGGTACCAATGCATAGTGTTAAAATTTCTCTCATTTTTTTTTCTCCTTTCAGGTGATATCAGACAGTTACCCAGCATTGAGCCTGGTAACTTGCTAATGGACCTATTTGAGACTCTCAGATCAAGAAACTGTGCTGTGGAGCTTAAAACAAATCATAGAGCAGAATCTCAGCTTATTGTAGATAATGCAGCAAGGTATGAGTTCTCTGCATCCCTGAAAAACTATTACACTCCTTGCAGCATTTTTCTTCCACTCATCAGAAAGGATATAGACTGTTAAGGCAATACCACATATTCTATTTGAGATTTTTATATTTATAACTGCTATAAAATTTAATCATCAGTCAACAAACATTTATGTGCCTGGCACAGTGTGAGGTGATGAGGATACAAGTACAAAAAAGGAAACAGTCTCTACTTGCATGGAGCTTACATTCTAGTGGGGATTCAGGTACAAATCTGTGTATATACAGAATAAATAAAAAGAGAATAAATACAGATCAACACAAAGTATTTTGGTTAAGATTATTTAAATTTTGAATATTTTGACCTGTTCTAAAAATAAAAGATGTGTATGTTTACTTTAGATTTAGATTTTTAATTGACTACATGATCTCTAAGTTTCTTTCAGCACTCAGATAGATTAGATGTCTATTTTGTCCCTATTTAGGTTGAGCAATTTAACTCTTAAAATCATTGCCTGATTTTACCTCAAGATTGAGGACATTTTGGCAGTATATAAAGCAATCTTTGAATAATACACTTGTGTTTTCTTTCTGCCCTGAAATAAAAAGGAAAATAGTTGATTAAAAGATAGAAATAATGTAAGATTCTGCTCTTCTTTTTTTATAACAAATAAAAACCTAATTTGTGTCAGTATAGAGAAAAACAAGAAAGGGTTTTATCTAACAAGGAATCTCATGCGTAATTTAAGATCATACATGTTTCCTATATAAATAAGCAGAGATAACTGTTTAGTGACCCTTCTGATTTTCAAGTGAATGCCTCCACCCCTACCCCCCAAAAAAACAAAAAACCAGGAAGACATGCTCATCAAAGTTCTTTGGAAGAAGTCCTGTTCATGGTCCAAACGGAAGGGGATTCCTTATGGATTCAGTTCAGCAAACAAGAATTGGGCACCTACTCTGTTAGAGGCGCTGTGCTAGGTGTAGGAATACAGTGAAACTGTTTATTCCTCAACATTAGGGACTTAGAGCCTTTTGGCAGGGGTCTTCCAGATGCAGTAGCATCTTTTGTTCATAATATTGTACCATTTACTTCGTGTCTCACAACATTATAGGTTCTCCTCAGTGAAATCCATTATAGTTTAGAAAATAATTTAACCTAACAATCTATACCTAGAGAAAAAAAAGTAAATAGAATGAGAAATACCCATTGTAGAGATGCATATAACTGGAAGATGAGTCTATCAAATTAGTACCTCATTACTGTTCCAAATCTTCTTTCCCCTTCTCGTGCCTCCTCCTGCCTTTTCTCACTTAGTTGTGGACCTTACCTCTTAGTTTACTAAGAAGATTGAGTCCATTTAAGCTAAGTGCCCTCTTTCCCCCTTCTCTCCATCTCAGAACCCCTGCTAGCATTTGCTACTCTCTCCTCCTTGTCTCTGACAAAGAGATGTCCCTTTTCCTTGCCAAGGCTACCCCCTTCTACGTGTACTTTTCATCCAACCCACTGCTGACTTTTCCAGCACCTGTGCCTTTCTAATCTTCACTCTCTCCCTATTTATTGGTACTTTTTGTAATGCCTTCAGACATGCTTAGGTTTCTTCCATCCTTTAAAAAAAAACTTGACTACCATTCTCTATTAATTTGTGATTCAATTTTGGCTGTTTGTTAAATTTTTTTGCGTTTACCTATTTTCAGTCAAACCCTGTTAATGCCATGTTTGTTTTCACAAAATGCCACCATAGATAATAATAGCTAATAATAATAAAGGTTAGCATTTATATGATCCTATAAGGCTTGCAAAATTATTTACAGATATTATTTCTTTTGATCCTTCTAACACTGAGGTAGATGCTATTATTATCCCCATTTTCATAGAAAGGAAACTAAGACTGACAAGTTAAATGACTTACTCAAAGTCACACAGCTCGTAAGTATCAGAGATTAGATTTGAACTCAGGCCTTCTTGATTCCAAGTCCAGCATCTTTTCCACTGTGTCACCATATAGCCTCTCTTCCAAGTTATCTGTCCCATCATTCGTCAGAATCAGCCGAACTTCATTTTCCTCAACAACATGATCTGCCTAATGGGGCTGTTGTAAGGAAAGTGTTTTGTCAGCCTTCACAAGCTCTATAAATAGAATGAGAAATACCCATTGTAGAGATGCATACAACTGGAAGATGAGTCTATCAAATTAGTACCTCATTACTGTTCCAAATCTTCTTTCCCCTTCTCGTGCCTCCACCTCCCTTTCCTCACTACTATTATTTTGGCTTTGCTCATTCCTAATCCATAGGACCTTGGTTAGACAAGTATTAGTCTATTGGGTCAGGATGTTTTGAGATCGGTTTAGGCGGCTCCTTTCATAGTTGCTATACATTGATGTGTGCCTTTTAAGACCATCTAGAACTCGGTGGTAGTCAAAAGACTTCCAGAAATTTTATGCTTCTTAACTTGGGTTAAACTGGGTTTCTGTAATGATCATCATCAGCAGATATTTGAGATATGGTAAAATATGAAGAGAAGCAGAGAGATGGGATTATGGCCTATAGAGGTCAGATGCAAAATAGTGGAGTCTCTAGTGGCCGTCAGTCCTAAATCCTGAGACCCAGAGGGCTTTAGTCTGCCCCAGCCATGGACAGCCTTCTTCCTAGGTGCTAGTTTGACTTCTCTTTGCTTAATAAGTGGCAAGCAAGAGACAGCAGTGCATCTCTGCTTCCCCAGATGGTGCATAAGACTGAGTCAGGCATTTTGAAACTTAGAGAGAAGTTCTTTAGAGCCCAGGCTTCGACTTATAACTTAGTAATTTTCTGAAATGGAGCTCTAGTCTTAGAATGAAAAGGGAAAAAAAAAGAATGGTAAGAAATGAATGGAATGGGGGCAGCTAGGTGGCTCAGTGGATAGCACTCCAGCCTTGGAGTCAGGAGGACCTGAGTTCAAATCTGGATTGACACTTACTAGCTGTGTGATCGAGGGCAAATCACTTAACTCTGACTGCCTCATCAAAAAAAGAAAAAAAAATGAATAGAATGAAAGAAACATATTTGATTGTACTGGGGAAGCAGAGGATATATGTGATTTTTAAAAGGAAAGGAGGGAAAAGGACAGGTTGTAGGATATAGGAAAATAGCATAGTTAGCAGCAAGAATTTTTGTTTCTAAGATACTTGATAATTCTCTCTGGTGCCTTCAGTTAGTTTAGCCTAGAATTGGTTACTGTTCAATATTTAACTAATGTTACCGTGCATGTGATTCTAGGATATTGCTAGCTCTTAATTGTGGAATTCAGTTATTTTTTATAATGCAAATTCAGATAGTTGCTTATCTTTAATTATTCTCTATTTTAAAAAAAGATAATTTAGTAACTATAAATCAGACTGATCCTACTCACAAGAAAATGTCCTTTTTTTGTATATTAACATTCTCGGTATGTATGTTTATATTTTTGTTCAAGAATTTCTAGGCGACAGTTTCCAAAGTTTGATGCAGAGTTGACAATTTCTGATGGTCTGGCCGACTCAATCCCAGATCAAAATAAGAGGTTTATTTTTGTTAGACTACCTGAAGATAGTAGTCATTCTCAGTCATCTCAAAGGAACTATTGCTCTTGTAAGTACAGATTGTAAGACTCTTGCAAATACCATAACAATGTATTTATATGTTTCAATTACGTGGCACATCACAAATTGTTAAAGGATTTTCCTATTAAACAGCTCATTATAATCTTAATAGATTGTGTTTAAAATATATTGCTAATAGGAACCACATTGAGAATAAAATTTTTAAGGCTTATTATTCATTGAAACAGATTCATCTAGGACTTTTTAGAAAAGTAGATGTCCTCATGAAAGTATGCCAGGCTAATTCAAGATGATGGTAACTTGTAAGAATATTTAGTGCAATATTTTAGTGCAGTGGTTTGAATTAGAGGACATATGTGTTTGATTTATATTTTGAATATATTCTGAATATATTTTCGAATATATTTGAATATATTTTGAATATATTAATTGAATATCTTGGATATATTAATTGACTATATTAATATACAATATAATATAATAATATATAATATAGTATATATAATATAATATATAATAATATGTAATATATTGTATATAATATAATATAATATAATATATAATGATATATTATATATTATATATAATATAATATATAATAATGTATTATATAATATATAATAATATATTAATTGAATATATTAATTGAATATCTTGAATATATTAATCAGACAGTCTGCTTTATCACTCTTCCTTCCCCATTGCAATCAAGTGTAGGCAATCAAAACATATTGGCTGCTAAATCATATGTGATCCTTACTGTGGATCCTTGGTAGTCGAATTCTTTCTTTCTGGCTGCTTGCGGTATTTTTTTATTTGGCCTGGAAACTATGAATGTTGGATTTGATGTTCCTGAGAGTTTTTATTTTGAGTTTTCTTTTAGGAGGTGACCAGCACATTCTTTCTATGTTTTGCCTTCTGGTTCTAAGAGATCTGAGCAGTTTTCTTTTCTGATTTCTTGAAATAGGAAGCCTAGGCTCTTTTTTCAAAGGTCATGTTATTAAGATAATAGAACGGTTCTTGTTAGGTTATATTATTCCAGGGTTCGGGGGCAGGCCAAGGATCCTACGAGGTTTCAGTGCTCCTTAAGTGGTCTGATCTAAGGCACAGTGTGATTGACATCCCCGTCATTCACCCCCAACCTCCCCTATTCTTAGTTTTTCACGTTCCTGACTTTGATCTGGATCTGTGCAAGAGTAAGTCTGCTGCTGGATTCAGCTCCTGTCAGCCAACCGGAAAGCTCTACTGGTTAAAAGTGGAAGATTTGTAGGCTCCTCTTTGGTCTGGGATCCCTGCCTTGGTTATTCCTCTGTAATCTGGGCTAGATCATGGAAATGAAACCCTGTTCTGTTCCTGGTGTTTGAGCCATACTGCTGCTGCTTCTGAATTTCTTCCTTTCTCTGTACGCTACTCACCTGTAAATTGAAGATTAATAATACTTGAACTGCCTAGCACTTCACAGCATTGTATAAGGAAAGGGCCTTTGAAAGCTTTACAGAAATATTGAAGTAGAAGTTGTTTCTCTATTTTCAGATAAATACAACACCAGGTTGCATGTGATAAGTACTGCAAACTACATTAGGGAAATCAAGGAAAGGATTGTTTGGAAGGGAACACTCTGAGAAGGATTCATAAAGGTGACATTTGATGTAGACCTTGGAACTTGGATAGGATTTTAATAGATAGAAATGGGAAGGAAGGAATTTTTAGCAAAGGGAACAGCATAAGTAAGAATATAGGGGCAGAGAAGCACATGGCATATTTGGGTAACAGCAAATCAACCAACTTGATGGGAGTGTTGAGCATGTAAGAGGGAGTAGTAGGAGATAAGAGTAGAGAGGAAGACTGGGGCCAGATTTGGTAAGGCCTTGAATGCTATGATAGGGAGGGAGCCATTAGATTTTTGAGCAGGAGATGACCGCTTAAACTAGGTTTTAAGAGAATGTTTGGGTGTATGTGTGTGTACATGCATGCACATACCAGTCTAGGAATTGACCTCTACTTATAACATTGTTTCTGTGGAAAAATGTGTTCTGATTTCTAAACAGTTGATTTTTAGGTGAATTTGTAGAGCGAAGAAGATGAGACCTTCACAAATAATTTTTTTTCTGTCTTATTATTAGACTTGTATTCTGCAGTTAAAACTTTACTTAATGGTGCAGTGGAACTAAAGAAGCCGAAAACATCACAGTTCATTGCGTTCAGAAAGTATGTGACAAACGCTTTAATGTGATTGAGTCCCTGGGATTTGTCAAAGAAAATAACATGTTTATGAACTGGACTTTTTAGTGATAGTTTTGGGAATTTCTTTCTTGGGCATAGTACATGGCAGTTTCTTAGAGATGTTTTACCACTATGATGGTCATACTGACCAGAGTATTCACATAAAATCTTCCTAGCCACAGAAATTTAGGCTGAATCAGTAGTTTTGTTGCTGATCATTATTTTGTATTGAAAGAAGGTATTTCTGGGTTGTGTTTAACTGTTATACCTTGATAAAAACATAATGGAAATATTGGAAAGGCTATCTTATGTATGCTCTGGTATATTCTAGGCAAGACTGTGATATAATAAATGAATGCTGTTGCAGCTTCTACTCAGGCCACTTAACCAAGTAAGTATTTTTTAGAACTAAAACTTTGACTGTCTGTGCTCAATTATAGCTGCCTTGAATTTAGTCATTAAATGTTTTTTACAGTTCTTATTTAGTTTTCTATTTTAAGGGGCCATTTAGATATACCAATATTAATTTGAATAGACTGTGGAACCACCCTTAGATTGATTATTTTTTTGGCATGTTTTAGTAAATAGAGCAATCAGGAGTAGTAATCCTATTTGTGGCTTTCAGCCTTGCAATTTATAAAACTTATAAGTGTCATAAAACAGGTGAGAATGGGATTATTGCTGAAAATATGTTGAGATTATTAGTGTTCCTAGCAAACTAATACCAAATATTCAACGTGTACCCCTATTTTGAAAAACATAGTTCCTTTTCTGTGGTTGCAGAGAACCAGAAAAAAAGTGATACCTATCCATCGTGGCAGGGCTAACCAAACTGTGGTACATGAATATAATAGGATATTTCTGTGCCATAAGAAGTGATGAATTTGATGAATACAAGGAGGCATGAATAGACAAAAACAAATGTAGATTGAAGTAAGAACCAGAGAAACATTTGATAGAATGATTGCAATAATGGAAATGGAAAGAACAAAAAAAGAAGCTAAATGCTCTGTAATTATGATGAGGAAGCTTGACTCTGAAGAAGAAATGAAAAGATACACCTCTGTCCTGTCTCTTCCTTGCAGAGGTGGGAGACTATGGATATAAAATATCACGTATACTCTTAGGTATGGTTGTTATGTTGGTTTTGCTGAACTAGTTTTTGCCCTCTTTAATAGGTAGGAGAGGTGGGAGAGATATACTTGAAAATAAAGGAGATGTAGAAACAAAAGGTAAAACATTTATTTATAAAGGAAAAGAAAAACATAAGTGCTGAGCAGCCATTCTGTTCCTGTATGGAGAGGATAGGCAAATTTCCGTTAAACCTCTGTGTGAACTTTCAAAGGGATTGCCATCTTTGAGGTTTATGGGAATTTGATCTCTTGTTATTCCTAATGGACAGTGTCTTCTTGAGGGGCAAGTAATTTGAAAGAGGTGAAAAAGATGTAGGTAATTGGATGGGACAAGAAAATGGTATGCTTGACCAAATTTCTACAATTTCTGATGTCTATCTCTTTCCAACACAGAAATCATAAAAATAGACTTGTCTTCCAAAAAGATGATAAAATCTGCTGCACCAGGAATGCTTACCTCTCAGACTTACTCCCTGAAAATTCTAATAGCCTTCAAAATGAAAATTTAGAATTGGGCCACGACGGAGATGTTGATGCTTCTTATCATGGTAAAAAATCCAAGAAATCCCATGGCTCTGAAAGTGACATCCGGCTATGCAATGGAGAGATATTTTACATAACAGATGTATGTGGTAAAAGAGAATAACATCATTTCTACTTCTTAGCATAATTTTTTCTTTTATTCATTAGTGGAATATATTCAAAATTTGGATAGGCCAAGGAAGCAAAGTAATAAAACGATTGGAATTTTGTATCTCTTTGTTTAGTAGATCTTAGTGGTTAAGGGGATAAAGCAATTCAAAAACAAATGACTATATTTGAGATAATTTACTTTGTGGTTCTGAAGTTGATGTTTTCGCAATTGCTAGTTGATTGACCCTGGACAAGTGACTTAACCTCTCTGGGTCATGGTTTCCTCATCAGTGGAATGAGAGAGCTGGACTAGATGACCTCTAACCTCCCTTCAGGCTCCGAATTCACAATCTGACGACGTTAAATTAGACCATTCTAAAGGCATTCTATTTTATATGTTCATGTTGTTTGAGTGACTACATTATATTGAAGAGAATCAGTCTGGAAAAAGAGGATTACTTTGCATAAGAAGGGAATGGTCCAACTAGAAATAAGTTATTCATGATGTGAAAAATCAAGTTTATGCCTTTCAAGTTAGTAGAGGAAACAGGTAAAATCATTTAGAAAAATTCCTTCACCTATCAAAATTGAAACTTAAGTTTCAGGAGTAGAAGTCTTTTGTGTTTAAAATATTTGGTGTGAACCTGCTATTTGTTTTTGTGCTTATTGAATAAATTTAATTAGGGAATATTCCCTTATAACTAACATGACTTTAATTTTATTTTATGTTATGTGTTTTATGAGGATGAATTTTGGAATATGAGTAAATAAGTGTTCTCTTCTTTGGTTCTAGGATGTACAGAATGAAAATGGAAGATTCTTGACTATTAATAATCTGGCTGGCTTAGAGGTTACTGTAGACTTCAAAAAACTAGTGAATTTTTGCCATATAAGGCATGCTTGGGCAAGAACAATTCATACATTTCAGGTAAGAGACAACACATTGCTCATAAATTTCCATGAATTTGTTGTATCTTCACTTATTTCATTGTTCTACACTTTTTCAAATAGTATCTCATTCTGATTTAGGGACTTTGTTGCTGGTGTGCTGATTTAGCAGCTGGATGGGGTTAATATGTGAGAAAAGGCTAGGTTGACTTTTTACACAGAAAGATGCAGATTGATTTTACTGTGTTAGTCAGACTGTAGGCCTCCTACTGCCTTCTCAGTCTTCTTATACCTCAGTCCTTCCAAGTGTTTTGTGATCCAATGACACTGGCCTTCTTCGTGTTTTTTGCATGAGGCACTCCACATTCCAACTGCATTTTCACTGGCCTTTTACTATGCCTTGAAGCCTTTCCCTCCTCATCTCTGCATCCTTGCCTTTTTGGCTTCCTTCAGTTCTCAACCAAAATTCCACCTTCTAAAGGAAGCCTTTCTAGGTCCTTCCCTCTATTAATTATCTGCACTATTACCTGTGTATGTCTTGTTTGTGCAAGGTGCTTCCTTGGAGAACAGGAATTTTTTTCCCCTTTCTTTATAACCCTAGCATTTAGCACAGGATCTGGCATATAGTAGATGCTTAATAAAAGCTTGTTGACTGGCCGATTATGTATAGATCACTTGGATTTTCTTCCCTTGATAACTTCTTGTCCATTTCATTTGACCCTTTATCAGTTGGGAAATCTCTCTTTTATCAGTATTCTTAAAATGTAGTGTTCAGAACTGAGTTTGGTAGTCCAGATGTCTGACCAAGTGAGAGCATAGTGGGACTGTTTCCTCCCTCATTCTGATGAGGGACCCTTTTTGTTTTCTCTGTACTTTGAAGAATAAAGCATCATACAAAAATTTTAAAAACCCAGATATAACAAGAAAGAGATCTCAAATAACTCAACCTCAGAAAAATGAATTGAGCAAGCCCCAAATAACTTTTTTTCAGTCAATATATATTTTTTAAAAGTTTTGAAATATTTTTATTTGAAGTTTTGAGTTCCAAATTCTATCCCTTTCTCCTTACCTCCCAGTCCCCCCTCCCTGAGATGGTAAATGATCAGATATAGGTTATACAGTGAAATTATGTAAAACATTTCCATTTTAGTCATTTTGTACAAGAAGACTTGAATAAAGGAAAAAAATGAAAGAGAGAAAGTGAAAAATAGCATGCTTCAGTCTGTATTCAAGTAATATCAATTCTTTCTCTGGAGGTGGATAGTATACTTCATCATTAGTCCTTTGGGATTGCCTTAGATCACTGTATTGTTGAGAATAGCTAAGTTATTCACAGTTTTTCATTGAACAGTATTGCTGTTACTGGGTACATTTTCCTAGTTCTGTTCACTTCACTATGCATCAATCCAGGTAAGTCTTTCTGGGATTTTCTGAAATCATCCTGCTTGTCATTTCTTACAGCACAATATGATTCCATTATAGTCATATATCACAGCTTGTTTAACCATTCCCCAGTTGATGGGCACCCATTTAATTTCCATTTCTTTTTTCTTTCTTTCTTTCTTTTTTGTTTTTTTTTTTTGGTTAGGCAATGAGGTTAAATGACTTGCCCAGGGTTCTACAGCTAGTAAGTGTTATGTGTCTGAGGCCAGATTTGAACTCAGGTCTTCCTGAATCCAAGACCGGTGCTTTATCCACTGCGCCATCTAGCTGCCCCTCATTTCCATTTCTTAGCCATCACAAAAAGAGCTGCTGTAAATATTTTTGTTCAAATAGGTCCTTTTCCCTTTTTTTTTTGATGTCTTTGGGATATAGACCTAGCAGTGGTATTGCTAGTTCAAAAGGTATGCACAGTTTTATAGCCCTTTGGGCATAGTTCCAAATTACTCTCCAGAATGGTTGGATCAGTTCACAACTCCACCAGCAGTGCATTAGTGTCCCAGTTTTCCCACGTTCCTTCTGACATCCAACATTTTCCTTTTTTGTCATATTAGCCAACCTGATAGGTGTGAGGATGGTACCTCAGAGTTGTTTTAATTTGTGTTTCTCTAATCAACAGTGATTTAGAGCATTTTTTTCATATAACTATAGAAAGCTTTGATTTTTTTTGTCTGAAAACTGCCTGTTCATATCTTTTGACCATTTATCAATTGGGGAATGACTTGTATTTTTATAAATTTGACTTAGTTCTCTATATATTTGAGAAATGGAGTCTTTATCAGAGGTACTTGTTGCAAAATTTCCCTCCCAGTTTTCTGCTTTCCTTATAATTTTGGTTGCATTGGTTTTGTTTGTGCAAAAAATTTTCATTTTATATAATCAAAATTAATCTGTTTTACATTCTGTAATGTTGTCAGTGTCTTCTTGGGTCTTAAATTTTTCCCTTATCCATAAATCTGACAGATAAACTATTCTGTGCTCTCTTAATTTGCTTATGGTATCACCCTTTACGTGTAAATCTTGTATTCATTTTGACCTAATCTTGGTATATGGTGTGAGATGTTGTTGATACCTAGTTTCTGTCATACCGTTTTCCAGTTTTTCCAGCAGTTTTTGTGAAATAATGAGTTTTTGTTCCAGAAGATTGGATCTTTGGGTTTATCATATCTGGTTATTTACTATAATGTAATTGGTTCCTAATTTATTCCACTGATCTGCCACTCTATTTCTTAGCCAGTATCAGATTGTTTTGATAATTACCACTTTATAGTCTAGTTTGAGATCTGGTATGGCTCGATCACCTTCTTTTGCATTTTTTTTTAATTGATTCCCTTGATATCCTTGAGCTTTTGTTTTTCCAGATGAATTTTTGTTATTTTTTCTAGCTCTATAAAATAATTTTTTGATAGTTTGATTGGTAATAGCACTGAATAAATAGATTAAGTTAGGTAGAATTGTCATTTTTATCATATTGGCTCAGTCTACCCATAAGCAATTAATATTTTTCCAGTTGTTTAGATCTAACTCTATCCAAATGAACTCTCTAAGGCACACTCTGAGACCAGATGGATTTACAAGCAAACTGTATCAAACATTCAAAGAACAATAGAAATAGGAACAGAAGAAATAGGAAAAGAAGAAATCATCCCAAATTACTTGTATGATAAAAATATGGTCTTAATGCTTAAACCAGGAGAGAAAAAGCAAATCCCCAGTGATTATTGATGCAAAAAAAAGTTAAAATATTAGCAAAGAGGCTACAGCAGCATATCAGAGGGATCACATGCAGTGACCACTTCGGATTGATACCAGTAATGCAAGATTGGTTCCATATTAGGAAGGCTATAAACATAATGCACCATGTTAATAACAATAAAATACCATGATTATGTCAGCAGGAAGAGCTTTTGACACAATTCAACACCCATTTCTGTTAAACACTTTACAGGAATAAATGGACCTTTCCTTGATATGTTAAATAATATCTATCTAAAACCAAGAGCCAGAGGTGATAAGAATAAATTTTTTCAATCTTTCCAGTAAGATTAGGGGTAAAACAAAATGTCCATTATCTATCATTTGATGTACTACTAGACGTGCTGGCCATAGTGATATGAAAGGGAGAAGAAATTGAAGGAATAAACACAGGCAAAGATGAAACAAAATTATCACTTTTTTGCAGTTGATATAATGGTTTACTTAGAGAATTTGAGAGAACCAACTAAAATTAATTACAACTCTTAATAATTTCAACAAAGTTGCAGGAGATAAGATAAATCTACATAAATGATCACGATTTCTGTATGTTACCAACACAATCTAACAGGGGAATGGATTCCATTTAAAGTAAGGGCTTACCATATGCATTTTGGAGTAGCTGACCTACCAAGGGAAACACAGAAATCACATAAATGCAGCTAGAAACCATTCTTTATAGAACCCAAAACAGATAAATATGTAGAGAAATATTAATTGCTTGTGCTGAGCTGCAATGATAAAAATGACAACATCTGGTTTCATTTTCTTAGTCAGTGTCATGTCATGCAAATCAAACTAGTAAAAGATTGATTTACAGAGCTGAAAAAAATAATAATGAATTTATCTGGAGAAACAAAATGTCAAGAATTTCAGGGGAACTAAAGGAAAAAAGTGAGAAGAAAGGGGGCCTATCAGTTTCAGATCTCAAACTACACTACAAAACAGTAATTATCATTATTAAGAAATAGAAAGGAGGTAGAGCCAGAATGGCAGTGTTAGGCAGGAGCTTGTCTGAATTCTCTCGAGTTCATCTCCAAACAACTATAAAATAATACCTCATAATGAATTCAGGAGCAGCAGGACCAGTGTAAGGACGGGGTGAAACAATTTGCTAGTCTTAGGCTGGAAACTTAGAAGATTGGCAGAAAAGGTGTGTTTCACTCAGATAAGGAAGTGAGTGGTCTAGTGCAGTGGCATCTGGTCAAGGCACCAGTAAGCCAGCAACCAGGACCTGTGCCTCCAGCAAAGCAGGCCAGCAGCCAGGCCCCATGATCCCAATGCAGTAGGCCAGTGGCCAGGTCCCCCACACCCCTCCCCCTGGTGCAAGCAGCTTGGGACAGTACCCCCTCTACCACAGGAGCAGAGCCCAACTTTAACATAAAATTAAAAGTCATGAAATATCCTGGGGAAATGAGCATAGAAAGTTACTATGGTGATGGGAAAGATCAAAACACAAACTCATAAGAGGATAACTTCAAAGAAAAATGTGAATTGGTCTCAGGCCTAAAAAGAATTCCTGGAAGAGCTGAGAAAGGATTTTAAAAAGTAAACAATTGAGGTAGAAGAAAAATTGGGAAAAGAAGTGAGAGTCTTGAGAGTCAACAGTTTGGTAAAAGAAGCACAAAAAGTGGGAGAAGATGTACATAAAGTTATTGATGAAAACAACTCCTTCAAAAGTAGAATTGGTCAGGGGCAGCTAGGTGGTGCAGTAGATAGAGCACCAGCCCTGGATTCAGAAGGACCTGAGTTCAAATCCAGCCTCAGACACATAACACTTACTAGCTATGTGACCCTGGGCAAGTCACTTAACCCCATGGCCCAGCCAAAAAAAAGTAGAATTGGTCAAATGTAAAAGGAGGCACAAAAGCTCATTGAAGAAAATAATTCCTTAAAAATTAGAATTGGGCAATTCTAAGCTAATGAAACAACAAGAAACAGTAAATGAAATCAAAGGAATTAAAACATAGAAGAAAGTATGAAATATTGCATTGGAAACAACTGACCTGGAAAATAGATCCTGGAGAGAGAATTTAAGAATTATTGGGCTACCTGAAAGCTCTAATCAAAGAAAGAGCCTGAACAACATATTGCAAGAAATTATTGAGGAAAACTGCCTTGATATCCTAAAATCAGAGGCATAATAGAAAAGAATCCACCAGTCATCTCCTGAAAGAGATCTACAAATAAAAACACCCAGGAATATTAGAACCAAAGGAGAAAATACTGCAAGCAGCCAGAAACAATTAAAATAGCATGGAGTCACAATCAGGATTATGTAGGATTTAGCACCTTCTACATTAAAGGTACTAGAGTGCTTGGAATATTATATTCTGAAAGGCAAAGGAGCTAGAATTATGACCGAGAATCATCTCCCCAACAAAACTGAGTAAAATTCTTCAGAGGAAAAAAATGGATATTCAGTGGAATAGTAGGCTTTCAAACATTCCTGATGAAGAGACCAGAACTGAACAGAAAATTTGATTTTCAGATATGAGACTCAAGAGAAGCATAAATAGGTCAACAGGAAAGAGAAAACATAAGGGATTCAGTAAGGTTAAACTGTTTACATTCCTACATGGGAAGATGATACTTGTAATTCTTAAGAACTTTAACACTGTTGTCAACAGGCAATCACAGCATCACAGGACTTATGTGAAAGCCAGGTTTATTACAAGAGAAATGAAAGTTCATATGGAACCCAAAGAATTCACAGTCCTTAGAAAAGTTTACATATTTATGACAGTACAAAAAAAGGAGAAAACAGGAAGGGGTGTGACAAGGGAGGGGAAAGGTGCAGTAGAGGTGGGATAAAGAACAAAACCACTCCCCACGGGGAGGAGCAAGGTGATGGCACAAGCCATGTTCTTTCTCTTTGGAAACCTCTAGACTATGAAGACAGGAGCATCTGCTTATCTGCAAAGGACCCCAGCTGCACAAGCAGTTTCCTACCTTGGCATAGACTGGCCAATGCCTGTCTTGTTTCCCAAGGACACACAGGGAATCCAGCTTGGGGTGCAAGCAGCAAATTATATCAGCTGGGGGAGGAAGGGATTTCTCTCTGACACATTCAGGACCTCCTGCATGCTCTGAGTCCAGCGTTTCTGGCAAATATGGCAATTCAAAAAGATAAGTTCAGGGGAACCTTTAACCTCCCTTAACACTACTATGGCAGGAGTATACATCGTGGGTACAGGTATAAGTTAACGTTGATGGGATGATATTTAAAAAAAAAATAAGGGGTGAAAAAGAGAATTGCATGGAGAGAAGAGGGAAGGGAAGGGAGTAGAAGGGGGTAAATAATCTCTATGAAAAAGGCAAAAGACCTATTACAGTGGAGGGAAAGTAGGAGGGGGGCATCACTTAGACCTTACTTTCATCAGAATTGGCTCAAAGAGGGCATAATATGTACACTCAGTTGGGTGTAGAAAGCTATCTTACCCCATAGGGAAGTAGGAGGGGAGAGGAATAAAGGGGTAGAATTGATGGGGGGGTGGATTTGGGGGAGGCAGTTAAATACAAATATGGGAGGGAGATTGCCAGTATTTGGGAGGTTCAGGAAAGGCTTCTTGTACAAGACGATGCCTTAACCTTGTCTTAAAGAAATGGAGAGACACTAAGTAGGGAGTGCGTTCCAGGTATCAGGAATGGACAGGACAAAGGCAAAGAGATGGGAAATGTAGTCTTGTGTGTGAGGAAAAGAGAGCAATTCATAAGGAAGAACTGGTCTCTGATATTCCTAAAGATCTCTTTGCCTGTTCTAATTCCAATTTCTTTTTCTTATTGCTGTAGCTGGCATTTCTAGTACAGTACTGAATAATACTGGTGATAATGGGCATCTTTGTTTTACCCCTAATTGTATTGAGAAGGCTTCTAGCTTATCCCCATTACAGGTAATGTTTGCTGATGGTTTTAAATAAATATTACTTACCATTTTAAGATAAGATAAATATTACTCATCATTTTAAGGTAATTTATTTCTATGTTCCCTAGTGGTGTTTGTTTTTTTTTTTTATAGGAATGGGTGTTATATTTTGTCAGAGGCTTTTTCTGTATCTTTTGAGATAATCATGTTTTCTGTTGGTTTTGTTATTGATATGGTCAAGTGTGCTGATAGTTTTACCAGCCCTGCATTGCTTGTATAAATTCCACCTGGTCATAGTGTATGACCCTTGTCTTATATTGCTATAATTTCCTTGCTAGTGCATTAATATTCATTAGGAAAATTGGTCTACAGTTTTTTTTCCTCTGTTTTCACTCTTCCTGATTTAGGTAGCAGCACCATAAATGTGTCATTAAAAGGAATTTGGTAGGACTCCTTCTTTGCCTATTTTCCCAAATATTTTATATAGTATTGGGATTAATTGTTCTTTAAATGTTTAGTAGAATTTGCTTGTGAATCCATCTAGCCCTGGGGATTTTTTCTGAGTTCATTGATGGCTTGTTCAATTTCTTTTTCTAAGATTGGATTAAGTATTTTATTTCCTCTTCTGTTAATCTGGGCAATTTATATTTTTGTAAACATTCATTTATTTCACTTAGATTGTCAGATTTATTCGCATATAATTGGGCAAAATAGCTCCTGATAATTGCTTTAATGTCCTCTTCATTGGTGATGAATTCACCACTTTCTTTTTTGATATTAGTAATTTGGGTTTTTTTCCTTTCATTTTTAAAATCAACCAATAATTTATCTATTTTATTATATTTTTCACAAAACCAGCTTGCTTTCAGTTTTATTAATCTTTCCTTTGATTTAATTTGGTGTTTAACTGGAGATTTTTTTATTTGTTCTTTTTCTAATTCTTTTAGTTTCATGCCCAATTCATTGATCTGCTCTTTCTCAATTTTATTGATGTAAGCATTTAGAGATATAAAATTTCCCCTAAGTATTGCTTTGGCTGCATCCCATAAATTTTGGTATGTTGTCTCATTATTGTCATTCTCTTTAATGAAATTATTGATTGTTTCTCTGGTTTGTTCTTTGACCCACTTATTCTTTAGGACTAGATTATTTAGTTTCCAATTTTTCATCTCTTTTTCCACTGCCTTTTAATTGAATGTAATTTTTATAGCATTATGATCTGAAAAGGATGCATTTAATATTTCTGCTTTTCTACATTTGATTGTGCGGTTTTTATGCCCTAATATATGGTCAGTTTTTGTGTAGGTGCCATGTACTGCTGAGAAAAAGTATATTTCTTTTCCCATTAAGTTTTCTCCAGAGATTTAACTTTTCTAAAATTCTGTTTACCTCCTTAACTTTTTTCTTGTTTGTTTTTTTTAATCTAGTTCTGAGAGGGGAAAGTTGAGGTACCTCTCTAGTACAACTTTATTGTGTATTTCCTCCCATAATTCATTTAACTTCAATTTTTAAAAATTTAGATGCTCTACAGTTTGGTGAATATATGTTTAGTGTTGATCTTATTTTATTGTTTATGGTCCCTTTTAGCAGGATATAGTTTTCCTTCCTCATTTCTTTTAATTAGATCATTGTTGCTTTTGTTTTTTCAGATATCATGATTGCTACCCTTGCTTTTTTTTTTTTTACTTGAGCTGAAGCATAATAGATTATGCTCGAGCCCATTACCTTTACTCTGTGTGTCTCTATGCTTCAAATGTGTTTCTTGTAAACAGCATATTGTAGGATTCTGGTTTTTAATGCATTTTACTATCTGCTTCTCTTTTGTGGGTGAATTCATCCTATTCACATTCACAGTTTTGATAACTGTGTATTTTCCTCCATCCTCTTTTTTTCCTTGTTTATCCCCTTCTCTCTCTTATCTTTTACTCTGTGTCTTTTCATAGTCAACTCATATCTAAACCCTCTGTCTATGTATATCTCCAATTGCCCTTATAATGATAAAGTTCTTAAGAGTTACAAATATCATCTTACCATATAAGAAAATAAACAATTTAACCATATTGAATCCCTTCTCTTTTACCTTTTTATGTTACTCTTGAGTCTTGAATTTGAAGATCAAATTTTTTATTGAGCTCTACTCTTTTGATTAGGAATTCTTGGAAGTCTTCTGTTTCATTAAATCTCCTTTTTTTTTTTTTCCTGAAGGCATATACTTAGTTTTGCTGGGTGGGTGATTCTTGGTTGTAATCCTAGCTCCTTTGCCTTCCCAAATAGCATATTCTAAGCCCTCCAGTCTTTTAATGAAGAAGTGGCTAAATTCTGTGTAATCATGACTGTGGCTCTGTGATATTTGAATTGTTTCTCTCTGGCTTGTTGCAGTATTTTCTCCTTGACTGGGGAGCTCTGGGGTTTGGTCTCTTGGGGTGTGGCCTGTTACTGCTGTTTGTTTACTGGGTTTGCCCCCCACCCCAGTAAGACAGACCTTTCCTACTGTGCTGTTATGTTGTTTTTCAAGGTTGTTTGGAGGGAAATTTGTGAGGGTTCCTAGGAGTTCCTTCTTCAGTCTGCCATCTTGGCTCTGACAGATTTTTAGTATGACTTTTAAATGAAAAAATCTCTTTTCTTTCAGGGATCAGAAGAAGACACAGTAGTTTATGTCATTGGAAAAGCTGGTCGACAACACTGGCAGCATGTCTACACAGCTATAACACGAGGTCGCTCTAGAGTGTATGTTATAGCGGAAGAGTCCCAGCTCCGGAAAGCAGTTAAACAAAGTAGTTTTCCCAGAAACACTCGTTTAAGACATTTCTTGCAAAGGAATTTTGCGTATAGCTGTACATTTCCAACAGAAGGATCATTCCCTTCCAAAAGCCATGGACAAAGTAAAGGACACAGCTCCCAACCTTCAGCAACTCCATTAGACCCAAACATACCTGGAACTTTTGCAAATAGCTTTATTAAAACATGTGACTCTGTAGATGAGGATGTGACATTAATTACTAATAGAGGAGAGAAAATGGTTTCATTTGAGGAAACTGATGAGGAAGAAGATTCATTGGAGTTAAGAGGAACAAAGAGAAGTACCATAAATGACTTTGAAAGTCCAAACAAATTACTTCTGGTAAGAGGCCTGTTAACCTACTTCAGACTTTGTTTTGGCTAACTTTGGTGTTCTTATAAGTGCACATTTCATATTAATGATGTTGTTTAGTTGTTTCATTCGTTTCCTACTCTTCATGACCCAATTTGGGTTGTTTTTTTTTTTTGGCAAAGATGCTGGAGTGGTTTGCGATTTCCCTCTCTAGCTCATTTTTACAGATGAGGAAACTGAGGCAAACAAGGTTAAGTGACTTGCCCAGGGTCACACAGCTATGAAGTGTCTGCGGCCCGATTTGAATTCGGGAGGATGAGTCTTCCTGGTTCCCAGCCCAGCACTCTGTTCACTGTGCCACCTAGCTGCGCACATGTTAATTATGGTGTCACATAAGTTAAACTAGGCCTATGGAATTAGAAAATAACTATGAAATGTGAAGAGAGTCAGCATGGTATAGTGAATAGAGGAGTAGCTTTGGATTTAAAAAGACTTGGGTTCAAGTCCTGCCTTTGACACATACTGGCTGTACAAGTGGTGGCAGGGGGCATGGTCATAAGCCCTGGTATCCTGGTGCATGGCTGAATGGGATGAATGCTCTGAGGCTATAAATTACAGAAAATTTTCCACACTGTATTGGTAGAGGGAGTTTCCACACTAGAGAATTCTCTATATAAAACCATAATATTGGGCCATTAAGGAAAAAAGGGAGGGAAAAGATGTGTTATTTCTTTCTTTTTTGTTGTTTTTAATTTTTTGGTACTCATCTGTAATTTCATTAATCTGAGATGTTTCAAAATGTGGAAACCCCCTCTACTAAAGCAAATTGGCAACTACTTTGCAGTTTTTTGATTCTCATTCTCCTTGTCTTCTCTGCTGCCTTTGACACTGTCAGTCTCTTTCTCCTTGGCATTTTCCTCTAAGTTTTTGGGATACCACTCTCCCCTGGTTTTTCTCCTGTCTCTCTGACCACTCCTCTTTCTTCTTTGTTGAATCCTCCTCCAGATCATGCCCTCTCACCCTAGGTATTACTCAGGGTTCTGTCCTGGGTCCTCTTCTCTTCTTCCTCTATACTGTTTCATGTAGTGATCTCAGCTGCCGTGGATTTAATTATCATCTTTATGCGGATGATTCCCAGATCGACCTTTCCTTCGTCAGTCTCTCTTTCGACTTCCATTCTTGAATCTCCAACTGCTTTTCAGACATTTCTAGTAGACATCTTAATAAGTACAAAATAGAACTGATTATCTTTCCCCCTAAACTCTTCTCCTCTCCTGCCTTGCCTGTTACTATAGAGGGCAGCACCATCCTCCCTGTTCCTCAGCCTCACAAACTAGGAGTCATCCTGGATTCTTCTGTGTTTCTCACTTCCACTCCCTTCCCTTATCACTGTTGCTAAGGCCTGTTTATTTCAGCTTCCCAACATCTTGAATATGCCCCTTTCTCTCCTCTCACAGTGCCATACTCTAGTGCAGGCTTTTATTGCAATAGCCTGCTGGGGGTCTGGCTGCCTCAAGTCTCTCCCAACTCCACTCCATTCTTCATTCTGCCACTAACATAACTTTCCTAATACACAGGTCTGATCATGTCATTCCCCTTTACTCAGTAAACTCCAATGGCTTCCTGTTGCCTCCAGAAGCAAATACAAAGTGCTCTTTGGCCTTCAAAGCCCTTTATAACTTATCCCCTTCTTTCCTTTCCAGTCTTCTTTCATCTCAACCCTCAACACATACTTTTTGATGTAGTGACTCTGGCCTCCTAACTGTTACGTGAATAAGACACTCCATCTCTCAGCTCCAGGCATTTTCTCTGTCCATCCCCCATGCCTGGGAGACTTTACCTCCTCTGCTGTGACTGTTGACCTCCCTGACTTCCTTTAAGTCCCGACCAAAATCCCACCATCTACAGGAAGCCTTCCCCAAGCCCTCCTAACTGCAGTGCTTTTCCTCTTTTAATGATTCCCTGTTTATCCTGTGTATAGCTTGCTTTGCATATATTTGTTTGTTTCCCTCATTCAATTTTAAGCTCCTTGAGGACAAGGGCTTTGCTTCTTTTTCTCAGCACAGTGCCTGGCACGTAGTAGACTCTTAATAAATGTTTATTGAATTTCTAGTCCTAGAGAGTTGCCAGGGGGCATTGAGAGGCCTGTGATTGGATCACTCAGCTGGTGTGTGTCAGGAGCCGGATCTGCAGATAGGTCTTAGTTCCAAGTCCAGCTCTCTCTCCACTGTGTTGTACTGCCTCTCTTGCCTTTTACTGCCTAACTTCTGAGTGACCAGTTCCCACCTTCTGCTTCTATTTTGTACTATAACTTTCCTCTTTATTTTAGGTTTTATTCCCATAACCATATTGACAAATATAGGGACCTTCTAGCCAAATCTAAGTCTCTCTTAAACTCTTGGAATCATTTAACAGTGTTAATCATTCAGCTTTCAGTCCCTTTTTGGCTTTGGCGACTGAACTAGCCTGGATCGCTGCTTCTCCATTGCTTGTGGTCCCTCCAGTTCTTCCTTTCATCCTGTAACCTAGACTTTCTCAAGGCTCAGTCCTCCATCCTCTCTTCTTTCCCTCCACACTCCCTTGATCTTTTGAGGATTCATTCTCTTCTCATAGTTTTCACCATCACCTCTACAATGACAACATCCAAGTCCTTATATTTTTAACCCTGCATTTCATCTCCTGGTTTGCATCTTCCAACTGCCTTCTAGGCATCTATACGTAGAGATATCCACTGTGAAAAGAACTTCACTGTAATGCAATGAAAAGAATAATGAACTTGGAGTCAATCTGCCTGGAGTTCAAATTCTCTTTCTGACACTTAACTACCCTTGTGACCTTTGACAAGTCACTTAACCTCTGAGAACTCCATGTCTTCATCTATAAAATAAAGGACTTAGACTAGATAAACTCTAAAGTCCTTCCAGCTCTGTCTCTGATCCTGTGGGGGAAAAAAAACCCCAATCTCATCATCCGTATCACATAACCAGTTCCCTTCCCTGACTTCCTTGTTTTATCACTGTCACAGTTAACCCAGTTATACATTTTTGAGTACTTAGAATTATCATTGACTATCCTATACATACCACACATATATATTTATGTATGTGTATGCCTGTTAAGTATTCATTTGAAATGTCATTCTCAACTCTCCTGTTTTTGCTAACACAACTCTGTCAGGCCCAAATCATATGATACCTAGACTTTGCAGTAGATTCACAGAATCTCACAGCTGGAAGAGACTTTAGAGGTAATGTAGTCTAACCCATACCTGAACAGAAAACACTTATCCAGCATCCCTGATAAATAGTCATCTCCCTTCTACCTGAAACCACAGTGAAAAGAAATCTGTTGCTTTTGGAGATACAACTCGTTCCACTTTTGGATAGTTCTGATTGTTAGAAAGTTTTTTCCTTATATTGGGTCTAAATCTGGTCCTGTAAAATTTCTACCCAATTGGTCTTTTTATTTCTGTTTGCTATCTCCTTTAATCTCACTTGGATATTCTGTTAGATTAGCCTTGCTAAAATACTTATCATTATGCCACTTACCAACTCAAAAATTGTCAGTTCTTACAAATATAACATGCTTATTCACGTTACTGTACCTTAGTTCTTGCTGTAGCCTACTCAGCCTAGAATATATTATCTCCATAGATGTTATTCCCATTCCTTCAGTCCAACAAAAGGCCTACTTTTTTTTTAACCTTTCCCTGACCTGTACAACCCATATTGATTTCCTTCTTCTTTGGTATAGCCAGGGAAAATTATAAGAATTCACTCAACTTGACAATTAAGACGTACATATATGAAATTGTAAGAATGTTTGTGATTGCCTCTTTCAGTAGACTTTAAGATTCTTGGCGGGGGGAGCAGGAGTGCTAAACAGTCATTCCAGTGATGTTGCCATTGCTCAAAATATTTTAGTGATGTTTTTAGGAATTATCTATTGTGCATATAGAACATACATACACGAATCATTAATTGTAAAAATCTTAAATATTTTTTAAAAGATAAGTTTTTGAATAGTCTCATTGGTGGCAGATCTTTGTCCATTGAAGATAGTTTAAATTTTTTAAAAGATCCAGGGCAGGCAAATCTTAAACATATAAGGCAGCAAAATAGCTAGATAATGCTGATTTTCATCAGAACTGAACTGTTAATATACAGTCTTTTTAAAGACAGTTCCACATGAGAAATTCCCAAAATGTTTTGAAAAGTGGCAGCATAATTGAAATATAGGTACCACTTCCCAAAGTGACTACTTTGAAGTTATTTATTTTGATTTATGAATAGGTGGCTCATAGTGGATAGAATGCTAAACTTGGGAGTTAGGAAGACCTGAGTTTAAATTCTACTTCAGACACTTAATAGTTGTGTGACCCTAGGGAATTCTTACTTAACCACTCCAAATCTCAGATTCTTCATCTGTAAAATGGAGATACTAATAGCAAATACCTCACACAATTGTTGTGAGGATCAAATGACTCAATATATGTAAATTCCTTTGTAAGTTTTCTTAAAGCACTGTATAAATGCCATTAGTTCTTATTACATGCAACTTCTTTTTTTAAAAATTTATTGAAAAAATCCTTATGTCATACCTAAGTAAAAGCTTTAGGTATTTGGTAAAGTGTTTTATTTTTAAATTAGATTTTAGGGATGAATTGCAGGAATAATTATTTTTCAGAGTACTCCATTATGATTCATTTACTGCTTTTTCAGGTAATGTAGAAAAACCTTACATGAAAGGAATTTCTTAAAATTTGTACATCATGATGTTTTTATAAACAGTGTTTTTGCCTTACATTTTAGGATCAGTATTTTAATTCTTTGCAGTACCATTAACAATTAGAACTAACCGTGTAGTGAGCCTCCTTCTTCAAAGAAATATAATTGAGCTAGCAATATTTACCATAACTGAACTTACAAATATTGAACTTGATCATAACTCCTGTTTTTTAGGAGGTTTCTTTCTCCCATCCCATATTTATTAGTTTTCTCTTTTCTTATTATGAATTTGACAAAGATCAGGACATTTCCATATACAAAGAACAGAAAAGCAGATTTTTACATGAAACTCTAAATTTGTTTTTTAGCTAACTTGGGTTAAAAAAAAAAAAGGTGTATATTAAATGTAACAAGGTAGTAGCAACACTGTCCTGTTCATCTGTGTCCTCTTCTGAACTTTCTTATGCTTTCATTTGTATGCTTCTAAATTTTCTTTTGATATTCTTTTCTTCTTTTTTTAGCATCACTATTAAGTATTCTTCTATTCTTCCTACTTCCTCCCTCCCCTAAGAAAAGGCATTCCTTCTAACAAGTATAGTTAAGAAAAATAAATCTACACATTTGTCCTTGTCTGAAAATATATCTCATTCTGTACTTCTAGTCCATTGTCTTTCTGTCAAGTGGGAAGCATGATTCATCATCACTCTTTTGCAATCATGGTTGGTTATAGCACTGTTCAGAGTTCTTAAGTCTTGGGAGTTGTTTTATAGTATTGTGTTATCAGTTATTCTGGTTCTACCTCTCTTCACTCTGCATTAGTTCCTATAAACCTTCCTAGACTTCTGTGAATCCATCACTTTGCTCATCTCTTATGTGGCAGTAATTTTCTGTTACATTCATATGCCATGATTTGTTCAGTCTCACCCCATTTGATGGGCACCCACTTTCTTTCCATGTCTTTGTTATAAGAAAAATACTACTCAAAGTACTTTTGTACACCTAAGCCTTTTCCTTCTTTTTTTTTTTACTTTTTTAGTATATGTACCTAGTAGTGGATTCTTAGGTCAAAGGATATTCACATTATAGTGACTTTAAGGGTATAGAGTTCCAAATTGCTTTCCAGAATGGATCAACTTAGAAGTATATACACCAGTAGTGTACCAAGCTTCCTACACCTCCTCCAACTATTGTCATTTCCTTTTCTGTTCTTTGCCAATGTTTGATGAATTCAAGGTTGGACCTTCAGAGTTGTTTTAATTTGTATTTTTCCTTATTAGTGAATTGTAACAATTTTTTAAAAAAATAGCATTTAATCCTTTGACATTTATTGGGGAATGACTTAGTCTCAAATATTTGTATGTATCTTGGATGTCAGATAGTTTTAGAGATATTTATAGTAAATCTATTTGCCTAGTTAAGTGTTTCCCTTCTAATTCTAATTGCATTAATTTTCCATATATGTTTTTATAAAAAATTTAATCCTCTTAAAATGGAAAGGACCTGAAAAGATCATGCTTGCTCAGCTTGTCTTTTTCTTGTTAGCAACTTCGATTTCTTTAAGCTCCCTAAACATCCTGAATCATTGCTTCTACTTAAAAGCAGCAAGAGATAGTAAGAAAAGTGGATAAAGTCTACTTCTTTCCCTGTTCTTTTCCTTTCCATGCTAATAGAGATTTTTCTATTGAATTACTTGGTCTTTTTCTGCACCCAAGGTATTCCTTTTTAACCTGCCACATGGAGCAGGTGAGGTAGTTCAAAAGACAAGAGTCTTTTCTTAAAATATCTGTTTCTAATGTCCTGGAATTTCAGTCTAGATGACAAAATTGGATTTAAGATCCCAAGGTGAGGAATCCATCCCATCTTCAATTGATGTAAAGTAAAAACTAGTTTGCTACCTATGGAGCACGCATTACAGAGAGCACAGTGGTAGAAGGCATGGGTAGCTTTTAGAGGGGCGTTGGTGAGGTTTGGTTGAGGATACTGCTTTTTAAGGGGCCCCCTGAACTTGTCTTGGTTAACTAATTTGATCCTTATAAAGGATCAAATTAAGGAATAAAGGAATAGTAGGGGGCCAAGTATGGGGTATCTGAAAACATAACTGAAAAGGAAATTAAGATGTGATAGCATCCATTAAGCAGAACCACATAAAGAAGAATGACATGATATCAAAAACTGACTTGAAACCAGACCATTTTCTTTTACTTTTGTATTGTATATGGTGAATATCCATGCACAGAAACATGACTGCTGCTGCAAAGTTGTTATGTTCCCTGATTATTGTGGACTTATTTGATTGTAATGAGCTGCTTTGATCGAATTCATTAAAATAGTTACTAAAAAGCAATCATTATTTGTAAGTGTACCCTTTTCCCCAGGATACAGAATTTTTAAAAATAATGAAGTATATGAATGGCATTGCTTTCACTAAACTTTATTGGTATTTTAGTGAGAGCAAAAGGGTGTTTTGTACTATTAATAAGTAGCTTTAAAATACTGGTTTTCATATTCTTTGTCATTTTTTTTGTGTATTTTATAAGGTACATAAGTATAAGCACATGTTTTATATATTTTATTTACATAGCACAGATTTTATTTATAAATATATTCATATACTAGGGCTGTGTGTTAAAAATTATTTGATTGGAGTTATGTGGAAAAAAAAACCAAAACAACAGTTTGGAGATCTTGACTATGACTGTATCCACGGTCAATCTGTTAAGTACTATCAAAACCTCTACGTTGGCTTAGAGCCATTAGTTTTAACCCACAACTTTAAAGGTTTAGGCTGCCAGAAAGGAGACTACTTAAAAGGGTGGAGGGGGGAATCAAATTTCCTAATCTTCTTCTAAGTTAGTAAATATGGTAAATTGGTATAACTTTAGTGGCATCAACATTTTTTTTTTATTATTTTGACAGGTTGAACCGACATCTCCATTTGTATCTGCCAGACTTCAAAATATGACCCTGAATAGCTTGACTCCCAAGCAGCTCTTCAAAACTACAGTCAGTGAAGGAACTTAATTTCTGGCTGAACAGAATGATTGTGATGTATTTTTGTCTTTGGTGAGAAAAATACATAGCAGTATCTTGGAATTATGAAGGTGAAATTGGTCAAGTTTTAAGTGGAATTTTTGGATTTTGCAGAATCAAGCAGATTTTGTTTTAAAGCACAACCATGAAGATTTAAATGCATTTTATTGGCATAATATATAACATAGAATCCAAGCATTAGCTTACATAGTTTTATTTGAACTTTTTCATACTTTTAGGATTATGGCTTTAATTGCTAGTATAATTATAGTCCATGTTTGGTTATCTTTGATAATGTGATTTGGTTATTGGATTAGCACAGAAAATCTAAAAATTATATGAGGGTGTGGCTACAGTAAGGGGACTGTGTTTTAAAACAAACATACTAGAATTCAATATACCAAAAGAGTGTTGCCTCCTTTAAAAAGGTACCCACCTGTTGAAGCTGTATGCTTCTCTCAGTGATGTTCCCATGGCCCAAACCATGCGGAGCGCTTCCTTTTGGGAAGTGCCTTGAGGGCTTGTTGCATGTTTTTCTGAGTGTGTAACGTGGTAGCTAACTAATTCCTTTGCAGCTGGATAAGTCTTTTGGAGCCAAGACTGGTAAATCAGCAAGAGATCAACCTTAGGTAAAACAAAGTATGACTCTAAACTGCGCCTGAAAAACAGTGTGCCAGAAATGATGTTTAAAAAGTGTTTTGAGGAAAGGTTTTAGGATCTATTGTAAGATTCTCTTCTTCTACCCCAAATGTACACTTACCTCTGAAATTGTTATATTTAGGCAAATATGCAATTTAGCCTCCAACTGACAATGTAGAAGGAGGTCACCCCACAAACATTTTGGGAAAAGCCTGTCTGGCATTGGAAAAGCTGTCCATGGAATGTGAACATTGAATAAATAGATAAACAGATTTTTAAAACATTTCTTTAAAAAAAAGTATTATGTGACCATCTCCATGGTGCAATCATGTATTACGCGATAGAATTTTTTTAATGTCTTATTGAAAGATAGTAAAAAATGCCAAAAAGAAATTATGTTTGAATTGTAACCAAACACTTTACAATAATAGAATATAATGAGAAAAGATTTCTGTTATCCCCTCCACCCCCTAACCTAATGCAGGAATTCCTTCCATCGTATCATTGAACAGTGGGTTTTTTTAGGGACAGGGAGCTCACAAGGTTTTTCAGGGACAAAGAACTGTTTTGTAAGGCAACCCATGCCATTGTTGACTGGATCTAATTTTGGCAAATTCTAGTCCAAACCATATCGGAACAGAAATTCCCTCTATTGCACTCCCCCAAGTGGTAGTTATCATTCGGTCTTTGCTTGAAGACCTTAAGTAAGGAGATCCAAGACAGCACAGTTTGACTTTGAAATAGCTGTGGTTGTTAGGAAGTTTTTCTTCATGCCTCAATTTGCCTTTTTGTAACCTCCCTCTATCATTCCTAGATCTACCCTGTGGCCAAACAAGTCTAATTTACCCTTCTTGCTCTAATGACTGTGCTTCTATAAATGCAGCCCAAGATTACATTAGTGTTTTTAGCAGCCATCTCACACTGGTTTGTAGAATGTGAATTGAGGAACCCCCCCCCCCAAGAGGCCATCAAGTCCAGCCTGTATCTGAAGAAATCTTCCCCACATCATACCTGAAAAGTGTCAGGCTGCATTTGTTTTAAGACCTTCAGTGAGGGGAAACTCACTCCTTACTCCCAAGGTAGCCCATTATGCTTTTGCATTAACTAATTATTAAGATGTTTTTACTTATATTGAGCCTAAATGTACCCCTCTTCAACTTCTACCCCTTGTTGCTAATTCTGTAATCCCTCATTCACACAACTACCCTTTAGATGTTAGATAGCTTTCATGTCTTCTCTAAGTCTTTTCTTCATTGGGGTAAATGTTTTTTGAAGGCCTCAGTTCTTCTTTTGATCCTTATATGGCATGACCTCAGAGTTCTTCATCAGCCTGCTTGTGCTTTCCTTTGGACACCCACCACTTTACCAATGTCCTTTCTAAGATTAACCACCTTGGTTTGTTTTTTTTCTTCACATGAATGGTTTCAAGTCAGATTTTCCCCCTTCCTCCCCTATTATTTACTGACTTAATTGATTTTAAAAACTTAAATGCAGGACTTCATATTTATTCTAGTTACATTTCATCTTGTTGGTTTTGATCCATTCTCTGGTTGGATATAGATTAAATTCCATGTAAGATTTACAAATAACATATTCCAGAAAGTCAAGAACGTGGATAGCTTTAGTGTTCATTTTAGTAGAATTTGACCAGGTAATTAGCTGCTTCTGTGTAACAGTTGTTAAAAGCAGTGCCTTGCAAATAGTAGGTGCTTAATTGTTGGATTGAATTGAAAGTGAAAAAAAAACCAAAACTGCAATCTTCCATGGTCAAGATAATTACCCTTGTTAAAGAAAGATGGCACAATAGTTGTACCATTTTCTGTCACTTTCATGGTTTATCATAGATATCTGTATAATATAAAGTACTTTCAATAAACTAGATTTTTTGAAGTCCTGCATTATTTTAAGACCTTTGTTTTTAAACCTCATTCATCTAGATGAAACTCTCAATTTTGTATTATATCTGATCTGTACTCTGCAATATCTGGCCAAAGTGGATTTAGGTCTCAGAGAATTTATACTGAATATCATACTTTGTCTTTTTTAAATTACTGTTTATTCCACTGTGTACAATTTGATTTTTTTTCATACAAATTTACAACAATTCTGAGCTCCCAAAAACCATACATAGACGATAAATATCATGCTATTAAAGTATTAAATTTGTACAAAAATACTTTACAGTTTAATACTTGTTTGTTACAAATAAAAATACATATTTAAGTGACTCATGATTCTTTCAAACATGATTCTGCTTTAAATTTTCTTTTCTTGCCCTGGCAGTGTTGAATGAAGGAAACATTTGTGTGTGCACAAAAGGAAGGTGAGCTTTTTCATGTAATAAGGGTAAAGAAGATAGTGATACTTTGTCTAAATGGTGTTTGAATTTTTAACCCAAACGAAAAGGGTTAGAAAATTACTATTTTGTTAATGAAGGTTCTACAATCAATATATATATATCTAGTTAATTTTTTTTTATATTTAACAGATAAGTTATTACTGTGATTACTCAAAATATCCAAACAACTGAAAACAGTTGCTCAAGAGGATAAGAAGCAGTTGTCACCATTTATTGCTTTGAGGGGTGGTAGGAATTGGCAATGTATTTTGTAAAATGTATTTACAATCTCTAAGTGGCATGGCTCAGAACAAAATATATTTCAGTGGAATTTCTAAATACATGTGCTATACGCCCCTCAATCTGTCAAAACAACATATGTAGTGATATGGATTTGATTTGCCTGGCATTAAGTTGACCTCATTTGAATACACTTTGTTCTTTGTTACAGGTGTTTATTTAAGTCTTTTTAAAAAAGGAAAACAAATGAACTTAAGAACAAATACCCTCAGATTGAGTTTTTACTGTAATGTAGTCCTTTTTCAGAGGTTTTCAGCTACTTAAGAAATAATCCCCATTCTTTAAAAAAAAAAAAAAATTACAGGTCCCAAGACATGACCTGTTTAGTATTTTCTTGCATAGGGAATAACATACATCCTAGTAAAATTGTTCCTATACTTGGGCAATACATTTCACCACCACCTACCACAGCCTCTTACGTGCATGTTTGTGGAAATACTTTAATAGAACTTAATTTTGTATCTGCACCCCTCCCATTGTAGCAGACCAAGAGTTCACAAAACACTACCCATAATAAAGCTAAATTTACAAAGAGCCTTGTTCATACAGCTTACTGTTACATTAAGACCCAGTAACCAGCTGGTTTAAAAGTGAATTATAAGATTTTATCATAAAGGATATTTTAGAAAATGAGATTTTTTTTTTCTTTCTCAAAACCAGTCATATTAAGATGAAAGTATGAAATTGACTTTTTAAAAGATCCTTTATTAATGGGAGGGAAGAAAAGACCTACCTACTTTTCATTATCTTTTTTGCTCTTATCATTGGGCTTGGCCTGCCATTTATCATAGTGGTTACCAGAAAAACTTCCAATTTTAAAAGAATAGTGAACATGAGCCATGAGAGACATTTAAAAGCCCCTGTGCTTTACAATTAATGCCACATGATTGATCTGTGCCTCAAATGTCACAGATATTTTAAAGGGATTTTTTTTTTAGCACCATGTATATATTGTCCTTTGTCATTTTATAAAAATCTTTGCTATAATGTATTAGTGGGTTCTCGTGTCTCCAGACTACCACCATGTCCAGTTTGTTGAAAGAAAGCTCTGTTCTGGTCTCCCCACTCTCCACCAGGTAAAGTACGTTGTTGATCTGGGACCACCTTCTGGGATGCCAGGGGATTTCTGCTAATAACCAGGTCCAGTTTATTGCCAGATTCTGCTATGAGGGGCACAACGAGGCAGCAGTCAAAGTCCCTCGTACGGACGTGGTTAACCTGAAAGGTGAAGAAGGGCCATTCTGTCATTTGGGCTTAGTGTTTGAGTCATAAGACAACACAGTTGAACCCCAAACATACCACCTTGAGGTGAAACCAGAAGTGATTTTAAAAGGGTCGAGACAGGAGGGAGAGGATGTTATGCAGTGCAGTGAATACAGAAAGAGGGCAGAGTTTGAAGACAGAAAGTATGGTAGAGTGGTAAGTTCCTCTCTCCAAGGTACTAACAATCTCTTAATTGTTAAGTGGTGTTTCTCAGTCTTCATCTTCTGATCTCATCAGCTTTTGACTCTGTTGACACATCCAGTGATCCAGGCCTTCTCTCTGTTCTTACTCACTTTGTCTCCTGTCTCCATGGCTCTGTACTGGTTGTCCCTCCTGCCTGGAATGCATTCCCTTCTTGCCTTTTTCTCATAATTCTTCCTTTAAGATGCAGCTCAGCCACCATCTTCTGTGTGAAACCTTCCTTTCCCGACCCCCTTCTGACTGCTAATGCCTTCCGTTCCAAATTACTTTGTGTTTAATGTGTGTATTTGTTAACTTTGTATTTATGCAGTATATATTAAGCTCATTGTGAGTAGGAATTTCAGTCCTTGTACTTCTAGCCTACCCCCTAGAACAGTTCCTGATTGATAATTGCCACATAATATTTGTTGATTGATGGACTGATTGACTATCCCCTCCAAGCTACTTTTCTCTTGGTTTTTATTGTGATACTGCTGTCTCCTATTTCTCCTACCTGTTTGGTTGTTCCTTCTTGGCTGGATCCTCATTGGTGTAAGCTGTGTAACCCTGTGCAACCATTAGTGTTTTCCATGACTCTGTCCTGGAGCTACTTCCCTTTCTATACCACCTTCTTTCCTGATTTCATTAGCTGCCATGGGTTCAATGATCTCTATGCAGATGATTCCCAGAACTACATATTCAGCACTTATTATTTCCGTGACTGCCTGTCCTGTATCATTGGTTTTGTGCTAAACTTTTCTGTCCAAATGTCTCATAGGTGTTTTGCACTCAACAGGTTCACTACACAACTCATCATCTTCCTTTCTCTCCTCCACATTTCTTGATTTCTTTTGACACTGTCATTCTTCCTGTTATTAAAATTCACAAACTCAGCTCATCTTCCCTTCTTTGGTCCCACATATCCAATCAGTTACCAAATTTTGTGGGTTCTATCTATCTCCATATTCTCTCTCACATCCATCTACCACCCTATTTCAGGCCTTTTATCACCTCCCATCTACATTATTGCAGTAAATTCACAATTTATCTTAGCTTAAGTTACTCCCCTCCTTTCCAATCCATCCTCCATTCAGCTGCCAGTATAAGAATTTAAAGCATAGGTTTGAACAAGTGATTTTTCCACTCAGACTCTTCAGTGATTCCAATTGCCCTTAGGATAAAATAGAAACTCACTTTGTTATTTGAAACTCTTAAAAATGAAGCTGCAGCCTTTCCTTCCATTCTGTTCAATCATTTCCCTTCAAACCCTTCAGAACTTTCTTTATTTTTCCCTAAACTTGTCATTTACTTACCACCTCTAGGTATTCACACAGCCACCTGGTTCTCCCCCTATGCCTGGAATACAGCCCCTTCTTAACCATCTAATCACAGAAACCTTAACTTCTTCAAGGTTCACATTAGAAGAAATCTACAGGAAAACTTTCCGGATACCCCTTAGCTACTAGGACTTCTTTCATCCCTAAATTACCTTTTATGTACTTCCTTCTGTGTTATATTCTCCCTGGTAAAATAAAACCCTCTTAGACAGGGTCTGGTTTGCTTTTCATTTTGTCATTCAGTTTCCAACACCTAGTGCGATATCTTGTACACTGTGAATGCTTGATAAAGGCTTCTTGAATTGAGTTGGTAGGGGTTGGAGTCACAAAGCAGGAGGCTAAAAACTAAGAGGGTAGTGAAGAAGAGGATATATTACTTTTTTAAAAAAAAAAGAGATTGGGAAAGGAAGATAGAATAGAGTTTTAGGACAGGAATTCTTAACCTTTTTTTGTTTTGGTGAGAGCTACAAATCCTTTCTTAGGATAATGTTTTCAAATGTATAAAATTACAAACGAAATCAACTATTTAGAAATACAGTTATAAAATAATAATTTTTAAAAACCAAGTTCATAGATCCCAAGTTAAGAACACTGTGTTAGCAGATAAAACTGAGGAAAAGCTTTTGAATTTAAAGCTTAAAAATGCTCCTTAATATAAAGAATACCTGAGTATAGTATGTATGGGGTCGGGGAAAGGTGCCTGTAGAGAAGGAAAAGATGAAAACATAAAAGAACAAGGATAGTGATAGAACAGTATCCTAGAAGAAGTAGGAGTGGAAATGGATGGGTTTGTCTTGGAAAGGAGCCAGGACATAATCATTCTCAGAGAAGTAGGGGAATATGAAGGGAGCTTTAGCTGGGTAATCATATTAGAATGAGGGAAATAGTGGTGATAGTGGAAGCTTGAGGTTAGAAAAAGTTTGAAATGGGTCCTATGGCGAATTTGACAATATACAAAATGTGAATAAAAGAATTATTGAGCCCAGTTGATGTTAAATTGCATTGTTTTATAATGGACCTGCTGGCATTTTAGTTTCTTCCTTTTAATACCAGTATTTGGCAGCCTCGGAAGAGAAAAAAACAAATGGTGAGAGTAATCCATGGTTGTAGGAAAAAGGACCAAGGGATTCTAGACTTCTAAGGAGGCCATCATTCAAATAGATGATGGGATGTAAGGAAGTATTAGGGCAGCAAGTGAAGTCAGAATGGGGACTGATACGTTGGAAAAAGGAGGAATTAATAATGAAAGCAAAGAGCAAGTTTAATAGGTTTGAAGTTGTGGTTAAGAGAGAAGGGTAGGTAGAATGATAAAGGAATCCCGAGATACATGCCATGGTGCTGCTTTCTACATAATAAGATTCTTTTGGTATATGAGTATATTTAAATAAAAAATTTTTAAAAAAACAACTTTGGAATCCTCTTTAATGAGAATTTTGTTTAATTGATTAAGACAGTCAGCTTAGTTATCCATGTTAATGGAAGTGAGTATTTTTTCATGATGGAAACAAGTACTTAACTTGGTTTGAATCAGTTGGCTCAGGGAATTTAAGATGGGAGGAAGGGCTATGTATCTGACTTAGGTGGCAAATAACTCACAATCGAGATTTAAAGTTGCCACGTAGGTGTTGTAGAGAAAATGCTTTCTCTAGGTGGGAAGGTTGGACTTTCTGATTTCTTAAGATGATATGAGCTTAAGAGAGGTAGTATTATTATAAAACAGAACCAAGGTGTGAGTTAAATGTGGGCCACTTTGTCTATAGTAGCATTAGTTTGGGGAAGTTTGTTTCTAGTGCTGGCTAGCAAGAGGCTGTCCTAGGTGACGCCTTAAACAGCCAGACCTTACTTTAATGCCATGTGTTTTCTGAGCAACTCTCTGATCTTACTTTAATTTCCAATAGGCAGTTCTAAGCGGGGGGAGAAAGTTTATATATAAACTAGCCTTTTTATGCAACTGAATTTGAACCAAATGGAGTAATTTCCCCCAGCTCCTGAATGCCCCCAGGAAAGTAGCCCATAAAGGTAATGGACCCACTGGGAACTTGGACTAATGAGTACAGAATGGCAGTTGACCTTGAAACCTCTGCTCTCACGAATCTTATCTCAACATTTCTCTAACCTTGGTTAGGCAGGAATTGAAAGGTAAAGAATATGTGGACTTTAAAAATGACATTTAGAATTAGAATCCCTAGTGGAACAGTAACAATAAGGTATCTTTTCATTTTTCTCTGAGGTTGTATGTAGCTTTTTAAGTAGAGCCATCTTTATGCAGTTAATCTACAGTATCTTGGGCCAGTGAAACCTAGCTTAGCAGCATGTAAGCCCAAAGGAAGAGTGAAATATTTTGGCCTTTTATGAGAAATATCAGGCATTATAGTTGCAGCTGCTTGGCTGGCTCTAAGGGTCCTGAGCTGCGTCAGTCAGGAATACCTCATGATTACATAAGGGATGTCTGGAAATCTCCTTTACATGACACCAATGGGAACTTCTGAGAAAAGTTTTGTAAAAAACACCAGTTTGGTTTAAGTGTGCCCAATGCATGTGGCCAGGAGTAAAATGTTGGAGGGGGAAGTAGAGGATCTGGAAAGGTATATGTGCTGGGGGTCTGGGTTGGGAATTGTTGAGGGTGTTAGATTTATCCATACTTACTCAATTATCTGGAAAGCATATATGGAAAAGGGACGTTCCGGAGATTGTCCATATTAAGTGTAGAAGCCTGGGACAAAAGTCCAAGTGAGACAACTGACCCATTGAGAAAGGGGAATTTGGGAACATTTACCAGGTGATACCTTTATATCAAATCTCCAGGAATAGAATGTTCCGAGGAACTATAATCTATAATTCATTATGGAAGGGGGTATTATGTTTATATTAAACCCCCTCAAATTAAGAGGGAGCTCTGCCTTTGAATGCTAGTGATTGTTTTGTTATCTATTCATGAGTTTGAAGTATATTATTAGGTCAGTGTCATGACTTTAGAATTTAAGAGGCGACTGTAAATTCTAAGGGGACTCACTCCTTATAGGAGAGGAAGGAATAAATTCTCAGTAAACCATTATCTGGGCCCTCTCCCTCCTGGTAGGGGACTGACTGGGCAGGGTCCTTAGCAGCAATTACTCAGGTGACAATGCCTGTTGCTATAGAAGGGCTGTTTACCCTAAGGTTTGGAGTGAATCTCTGAGCCCTAGGTGGGGAATTATTCAGGGTGTGAGAGTTCAAATTAGAAACACCCAGACTGTGATTTAATAGAGGATGACTGCTTATTAGCAGGATGAGGTGTCCTGCAGACTTTGTCTCTTTAAGGGGGGGGAGGGGGAACTGCAGCTACCTTGAGTGTGATGGGCCTTTGGAGAATATTAAACCCATTTAGCTGATCTAGGAGTGACAACAGGAATTTAGAAACCACATCACTCTAGTCCATTGCTCTTACCAGCCCAATACCACAAGTCCAGCATTAACCTGGCTTGCTTCTTTGGAATGTGTAATTCTTAGGAATCAAAGGTCTTGTGAGATGAATAAATTTCACTGACTGTTTTTTAAAAGAGCATAGGTCTTTACTGAAAGATCCTATTACAGAAGGTAACATTATTCTTGGACTTTTCTTTCTTAAAACAATTTTTACAATAGAATAAATTATTGCATCCAGTACTTCCACCTTCCTCTTGACACCTGGAGATCACTTTGTGAAGTCAGGCTTTGAGGTTGTGACCAAAATGATGCCAGAGCCGTGGTGATGAGAGTTTGGAGAGAGGATCTGGTGGGAAGGACTCATAGGGCTTAGATCTGGAAGGGACCTTAGAGAATGGGAAAAGAACAGAGCTGAAAGGCTCTCCCCAGTGGGATCATCCTCTACCAGGTGAATAGACCACCACTCTCATTCCTAAATTTGCCCATTTGGTCTTGTAAAGTTAATTATATGCTCCACCTGAGACATGCATGGTTGAAATTGCACATTTGGCTTTTACCTGTAAGAGCCTGTCATATGGCTTTAAGCCACCTAGGTCTCCTGGTCCAGTGGGGCGAATATTTTTAACATATACTCCTTTTTCCAGCAGTCCATCTGATACGCTGAACCCAAAGTCTTCCATGTCACAATCCTTGTACAAGGTTACCTGTAAAAATGTTACACTGTAAAAATACATTTCCTAGAACAAGTCTTTGCTTTTGAAGTTTCAAAAACACGAAGAACCTTCTTCCAATTATTTTCAGTGATGTTAAATACTATTGAGACAGCCCTTTCTTCTCAAAGAAAGATACTAGTATTTTTTGGGACTTGGGCATTTTCCATATCCATCCAGATTTAAGAAAGGGACACACCAAAAAACTCTGTTGTTCCTTTTTTTCACAGAAATACCCTGAGGTTAGCTGTATCCAACTTAAAATTTCAGTCACCTGCTCAATGTATTGACTTTTTTTTTGTTCCTCCTTTATTGCCAAGCCTGTTTTATTTTTAAATGTTTTAACTACCACCAAAACCAATGACGCGTGTAGGAGGAGGAGTAGAAATTTTATACAAACCATTAGCATTCAGCAAAGTAGGTCCAAATAAATAGACACATAAGTTCTGCCAAAGGTATTTTTAAGGTAGTCCATACTGAAGCCTTACCTCTAATGCAAGGTACTGCCCTTAAAACCGAGCATCCTTGTCTAGGGTGATGACATAAAAAAACCTTCCCTTTATTGCCTCTCTATGCCTGTTGTGGTGTGGTGCTGGCTACAATTATGGTACATACCTTGTCCCATACTTTTTTCTCTTACTCCATGGTGACAGAATTAGAACATTCTCTGACTTTTTTAGAAGGAGTAAAAAAGAAGCTCAGGATTGGGGGGCAGTCATCAAAAGTCTCCAAGTGTAGTCTCTCTGAAGGCAAAGGGGTAATGGATTGGAGGACCCAAAGATCCCCATGGATACCAGCTGCTTCTGATAATTTATTTCTTTCCACAGGCCCAGTTCTGTGTAATGACAGTCCCTAATCCTGTGAATTAGAAAACCTGAACTTTGCTCTCAGTCCAGATAATTATTAGCTGTGTGGTCCTGAGAAAGTGAGCCTCAGCTTCGCTGTATACAAAATGGGTGTAATAGTGGCACGCATCTCATTGGTTATGTACTTCACACATTTTAAGGGCACTATTGGACATAGGAGCTGTGTTCCTCTCTGCTGTGTTCAAATGATTCTATTCCCACTTACTTGGCCCTGATGACCAGATATCTCATTCAGTCATGTTTCTTGTTGCCCCGGGAGTACAGCAAAACCTGTTCACCAACTCTTTTCTTTGCTTCTTTCTCCAAGGTGTGATTGTGAGCCATTCTTCCATTTAGCTGCAACTTGACTCTGCTAGCATTGTTTATAACAAGCATGTCATGATTTAGGGAAGGGAACATCATTTACACTCCCTTATTGGTCATTTAAAAAGGAGTCTCAGATTTAGAGTATCCATTGAGTTGATGTTTATTGATGGTCTAAAAACTCATACCCCATCCCCCTTTCTTGCCACCTGAAAATGTCGCTGCAGAACCTGATGGGAGCCACATGGGACTGAGGCTCTTTTAAAGTTCTTAGTTTCATGGGTTGCCATCTTTCCTGCTTCCCCCCCACCCCTGCAAAAAAAAAAAAAAAAAATCATTACCAAGTAGCCAACATACTGGTGATACGCTTTTATGTAATTAGATAGGTTGGTCCTTGGAAAATGGACTCAGTCTGCCACCAGAACCAGAGACATACTCAAAGCCTTTCCAGCATAGTAAAGACCTGTCACAAAGCTTGTATACACAGCTCACAAGGCCTTTAAGATTCCAGGGTCACTTTAACACTACAATGAGGCATTGGAATAGAAGGACTTCATGGGACAATAGTTAATAATGACAGTAACTCAGATTTGTTAAGTGCTTTCCTCACAATAATCCTGTGAGGTGTAGGTAGTTATTACCCCCATTTTACAAATGAAGAAACTGAGGCTTAGGAAATATAAGTAACTTCTCCATGGTCATACATCTAGTAAATGTCAGAGCTGGGATTTGAATTCAGGTCTCCTGATTCCAGTTCCATTATACTTACTACTACCTATTCTACTACCTCTTTCAACTCATCTTGAGTCTAAACTGTTACATTTCTGTGTAGAAGGTTTTGGGGTAAAAATTTACAAAGTGATTTAATTTGATAGTACTTTGTCCACCTAGGAAAGTTACTTAGGTTAACCTGAGCTAGTGAGTTTCTAACAACTGGGACAATAATTTCCTAGGAAAATGGCTGATTTCATATAACAAAATGAAGTGACTTTAAAAGTAGTATAGGGAATCATTGATTCAGCAAATATTTGACAACCATTTATTTAGCTCCAGGATTCAGTATTTCATAAAAATGGGGACTACTCCTGTTTTCCCTGGTCCTAAGCTGTGGTGCTACTACTTCATGGTGCTACTTTCCTCCACCCTCCACTTCTTTCACACAAAGAGCAGCAATGACTCTTTTTTCTGGCTGGAGGAAACCATAGAACCATAAACCATAAATCATTTTCATATATGCATCTCTTATTCATGTCTTGACAGATGACTGGAGTAGAGCTCTTTTTCTTGCTTGACTTCTACCTGTTTGTGTAGCTCTTCATGAACTACAGTTTAAAATAATTTCTTAAGCCCACTGCTTTTTAAATCTCTGCTACTCAAAATATTTCACTGACTTTCCACTATGGTTCACAGGAATACCAAATTATCGTTATTGCTTCCAAAGCCTTCCATTTTCTACCAAGCCTCTCACTGATTTCTGTCAAACCCCACATCCATCCACACCCTTTTCATGTGAGCCAAGCTTCTCATAGGCCTTACATCCATTATCTTTTTATTGGCTGATCTGACCCCCATCCTTGAAATCAGTATCACATAATGTCCAATTTGGGAGGAACTTCAAAGGTCAATTAATCCAATGCATATTGAGCTTGAATCCTATCTACATGACAGCTATTAAAATATCTGAAGGCAGCTATCATGTGTTCAGGTCTCCTCCAAGCTAAACAGTCCATCAGTTGGCATTGGCTTTGGAGGACGGCTGTGAGACTTAGATGAGAGATGGGAAAATAGTATTTTGGGGTGGGGGAAGGGAGAGGAGGACAGGGCAGTTGGACAGATAATAGAGGATGGCATGCAAAGCTGATTAAAATGTCTACAGAATGAAGCAACCCCAGTGATACCTAGAGCATGGGAAGCATTTTACAAATTCTATATAAATGTGAACTACTGTTCTCCTTATCCCCTTCTATGGATGAGGTCCAGTTTGTCAATATCCTTCCTACAATGTGGTGCCCCAAACAAATACAATACTTTAGAGGTTGTCAAACCAAGGCAGAATAGAGATGGCTTCCCAATTCCTTCTCCTTGTTCTTATTCTAAAAGGACCAACTGACTTGTTAGAATATTATCTCTAGGCTGGGGCCATCTTTATAAATCCCACTGCAGTATTGATGATCCATTATTATATACTGTAATTTTCTCTAACCTTGGAAGCAAGCCATATAGCAAACTGCACTGTATTTCACTTTGAACATTGTACTAAGTTTCAAACAAACACCATCTGTGTCTCTTAAAAACATACTTTGAGGCAAGCATCAAGACATCTGATTTAGTTTTCTGTTCTGACCATGTATTTCTCTCTATATATTACTTCACTTGGTGATCTTAGCAGCTTCTCTGGATTTAGTTATCTCTATGCTGATGGTATCTCAGATCTAGCTAACTTCTCTTCTGACTTCCAGTTTCACATTTCCAGTTGCTTTTCATACATCTTGAACTGGATGTCCAGCAGACAACTTGAACTCAACATGTTCAAAACCGAACTCATTATCTTCTCCCCTAAACTCTCCTCCCTTCCAAATTTCCCCATTATTGTTGAGGGCACCACTATCTTCCCAAGCTTGCAACCTAGGTGTCATCCTCACTGCCTCCACAGTTCTCTCTCTAGTCCACCCTCCATTCTGCTACCAAAGTGATTTTCTGACCAAGTCACTATATTTAGTAAACTGCCGTGGTTTCCTGTTAAATCAGAATTCCTCCAGTATCAAATACAAAATCCTCTGGCATCTGAAGTCCTTTATAACCTAGCATCCCCACTGTCCTTACCTTTCCAGTATTCTTACTCCTTATCCTCCCCTCCGAGGCTCCCCACCCCTTATCCCTTCGATGCAGTAACACGGGCCTCCTTGCTCTTTCATGAACAAGATACTCCATCTCCTGACTCTGGACAGTTTCACTGTCTCCCATGCCTGGAATGTTCTCCCTCCTCATCTCTGCCTCAGTTTCCATGGATTCCTTCAGTCCCAAGTACATTCCCACCTCCTACAGGAAACTTTTCTCAAACCCTCTTTAAGTCTAGAGACTTCACTGTTGATTATTTCCTACTTGGCCTGTATATAACTTGTTTGTACATATTTTTTTGTTGTTTACTGTTAGATTGTGGTCTCCTTGATGGTAGGGACTGTCCCCAGGTTCAGTGCAGTGCCTGGCATATAGTAGGTATTTAATAAATGCTTATTGACTCAAAGTTTTAAGAATATTTATGAGTTCCCTGACTTGATCTTATGAGAGAGATTTCATGTGCTTTCTTGAGAGACAATAAATAAACAGCAGCAAACCAAGTGTTATAGCTTCTCAGCCATGACGGTCTATCAAAGACTGAACTGAGCCTCTCTGATGCAGTAGCCATAAGGAAGAAGACGAAGCCATCTGTTCAGAGATTATGATGATTTTCTTACACTCTCTTTTTATCACCTGTGCTCATTCATTTTAAGATAACACCCGGGTCACCTTCTTCCATTTTGTTAGACCAAAACACATTAGTTTTGCGTGCCATCCTAGATTATTAGGGGAGGAGGGTGAGGAAGGGAACGCAGAGTTGTCTTTCCAGCTGCATTCCTCAAACCCAAGAGGAAAAACTTCCCTCCAAGGAACATCAGTTTCCATTACATCCTGAATTCATTTACAAACATGGTAAACTGGGACAAGGGAGGCAGCTGCAGCCTTGCAGGGGAGAAAGGCAGCCATGGTGAGGAAAGAAAAGGCCAGCTGCTTCACATACTGTTTCCTGCTGCTTTCTGGCAATGGTGAGAAGCAGAACCCTTTTGA